ATGTCCCCAATAATATAGAATCGAGTAGATGTTCTGCATATAATGAGTTCTGTTGACCTGGCACTCGGAGAAAATACCTCGAGCTCTTTCATAGCCTAGTTACAAAAAATATAGGAAACTGGAAGAAATGAGAAAGCCAAAAAAACACATGGTTCCAGCTTCCCACAGCAAGATTCGAAATTCCCTTTGGGAAGGAACTTAGGTTCTCAATGAGGAAACTGTTCCGCAGTTTTGTCTGATAAATAAACATCATCATCGCTTCGGATGCGAAAAGATGATGACGTTTATTTATCAGGCTTCCAAGATGACAGCAAAGGTCAGTCTACAACTGCTTTCCACTCCGTAGATGGTAGATGTAGTGATAGACACGAAGCTCGACCTTTTCCTGCATGTAGCCAAAAGATTAGCTGAGGAAACCTCAGCCGACGCAGGCCTGGCAGAAGAAAAGTCAGATGAAGTTGTTAGTTTGACAAACCTGACCCGTCCCTCGCCTGCCCTGCCCTGCCCTCCCTCCCTGCCTCCTTCCCCCGTCTCACTCCTAGATAGCAGCACTCCATACGATCCAACAGATGCCACAAAGTGCAGCTTTGCAGGCATGTCTTACACACTCAGACAGCGCCAGCACAAGCTGCACTAACAAGCAGAGGACGCAAGGTACGATCGTGGAATCCAGCTGCATCTGTCCATTCGACAACTTTTGGTCGAAGTTGGAGTTGGTGTATGAGCGTGTGTGAGTGGCTCGAGGCGAGCAAGCCCCAACTACACCCCTAGCGCCCCTCTCTCTCTCTCTGGAACAATTCATTCGTTCGTACCCTCCCACCCTCGTCTCCCACGGCACTCGATCACGACCCTGTGGCCTGTAGCCTGAGGCCCTACGACACAAAACGCCGATCTGTACATGTACCATATCATAGAGTCTAGACTGGCCACCATCGCCCCTCGGTCTCGGTCTCGGTCTCTCGTGGAGTCGGGGTTTGGCTCGAGACCAGCGTGCGCTCGCTTTCGTCCGTCATGTGAATGCCATGGACAACGAACCGCAGCGTGTTTCTTTTTTAAGTCAACACGAGATGCCTCGGTTCGCTTTGCGACGTCTCGAGTCAAAAGCCGAGGCTTTTGAGAAAGAAGTTCCATATTCCATCATCCGCCTCAGACTTGGAATTGGTCGGCGACTGAAGATTGACTCCGGAGAAAAGACTTTTGGCCTCCTCTCCTCTTCTCTTCCATGTCCATCACCGCCAGCGTTGTGATGCACTGCGATTCCATGCTGATGCCAAGTCCGAGGGTGTGGGCACAAGCTTTCCTCGTCGGTAAAATCGAATAACTACCACTTCAAACGTCCGCCCTCACGCTCTCACTTGCATCAGTTCATTGAAGTACGTGCTTGGAGTTATGTTTCGACCATCATGGGACATGTCGACGAGGTACTTGTAGGGTTTAATCTTGAAACTGGATATAGCTGATTACCTCTGAACTACAAGATGCCTGGAATCATTTAATCGAGGGGCATTTATTATTGGTTCTTCTTTCACATCGACACTTACCTGATCCAAGCGAATACCGGGCATATTTGTGGTCAGATCCCAGGACGATGTGAGGTTTGGTCTGAGTTTGCCACTTGGTCGCTGGCTGTGGATGACGGTTGTTGAATGAAAGATGATCCCCATCCTTCTTCTTTTCCATGTCTTTCACCGGCCATCGTCATGCTCAGATCGACGACCTGTCTAGCTTCGATTAATGAATATTTATACCTCTTCCCCTTCTCGCTGTTGTATGTTCTCGTTATCGCAGTGACCGATGTAGATTCCCAGAGATTTGGGACATCGCCGAAGGGGGGAGCGTTACACTCGAGATTCGCAGACATTTTTCCGAGTTCGCCAGAAATTCTTGCAGGAGACTTTTCGTGCACAGCACATGGAGCGTAGACTTTCACAACTACATGAACGGACGTTAGGAAAATTGGTCTTTCATTCACTACTTCCTCTTTGTGCCACTTACATGAGGAGTTTCTATAAAATATAATTAAATTATTTAGAGATGGGTGCTGAACAGTAAATTGCATAGTCACTGCTTGCCCTGATCAATTTCGTTTTCCTCTATAGATGAAAATTAATTACATATTTACATGTGCTAATTTTCCTTAATTTTCCTAAATTCTTTACAAGGTGAGTTTGAATCCGAGAGTACGGACTGTAAAGATTAATGCTCTCTGTGTGGCATTGTTGATATGCAGCGTGGTATGAAGTATCAATCGAGTCTACAATCATCAAATATTCACAAATTATATGCAAAATTTAGAGCCGTGTGAGGAAGGTTCTACACTTTCATGCATGCGTCTGTTGCTGTAAAGTTGATGGGCGATTGTTTTGGAGGTGTGTTGACTAGTTCTTCTCGTTGTAACCGTCAGAAGATATTTGTAACCTTGTTGTCATGTCAGAGTAATTTAGTTGCCTCAGATGTCCCTATCGAGCTACACATTTTTACTCTTCCATAAGTGACCTTGCATTGGGGAGAGTGAGACGTGATCGCGGTGAAGTACTGTCCTAATTATAATGATGATTTCGTCATCTGGCTCTGTAACTATTATACGAGCAAAATTCGTGCACTTTTTGTTAATGCTCAGTACTTTATGTCTGCTCAAGCTTTACCAATACTGTCGTGAAGAGTTCATGCCACCCCCGAATCATTTTGATGTCACATGAAATTTCCTCTCATTCAAGACCTCCAAGAAACATCATACATCCGAAATGAACGCACAGTGTGAGCCTCGGGAGCTCCAGCTTTCAAAACTCTCATACATGAATAGGCTCAACCGTAGCTCGAGCTTTTATTTATTCTTTATATCAGCTTCAAGAGTTTTGGCAATTTAATAACTATTTCGGAAAATAATGACCAGGGCCCATTGCGGCTTATTCCATCAGAGAGCTTCGAAAGAGCGAATAAGTCCTGCTTATAACGAGGGCTATGAATCTTTGATTCCCCATGTCGGCCGCAAGACCTATATCTGCGATGGAATTATGATTTAGAATAACTTTCGTGCGATGAAACGAATTGCTTCTAATGAAAGCGAAGTAAACACATTAAGACATTCGAGCTCAACTACGACCTTGAGCTTTGATATCCCCATGTCAGCCTGAAAACTCCTCTGGATTTAGTACAACCCATAATATCTTTTCTCATAACTAGAGCTTCGAAGACATATTGAAACAGGTGTGTTCAACTAAATCCGTGAACTTTGATATCCAATGACAGCATCTACGCATATCACTCATCTCTCTTGCAAGTATTTGACCAAGAAACAGAATAAGTCATCTTTAAATGAAGCTTCGGAGAAACGATGGAACGGATGTGTTCAACTAACACCTTGAGCTTTGATTCCGCCTGTCAGTGTCAAGAGTATCTGCGTATTGAGCATTACTTATGTATCTTGGAATTAAATAACATGATATCCTTCTTGACGAACAACGAATCAGCCGAGTTCCGTCTTAACTATGGTTCGAGCAAAAGTGGAAACATTTAAGCATAGCTTCCAACAAAAAAGCCTTGAACCATGCAAACTCGTGTCATCCTCCGGACGATGAATCCCACTAGCTGGATACGTGAGATGCGACTTAACCAACCTGTGGAGAAAAACTCTCCGGAAACGTGTGCAATGACCTCGATTACGACTAGCAGTTTTCGAACAGCAAAGCGATTCAAGTGCGTTTAATGTTCATAATGAAAATTGATCACCAAGGAGGACTGAAGGACCACCTGTCTGAAAGAAGAATGAAGTCGAAAACATGCCGTCCGAAGATCCATAGATCCATGTCTTAATTTTAGCCAACAAACCTCGTTATCATCTTTGATTGGATGTGCGATCTCTGTCAACATTTGATTGTTGAGTCGAGGAAAGAATTCGGAAAAAGCAACCCGCTTAAATCGCGCACCCTGGAAACGGGGGCTATTGTTGCAGTATGGTGGCTAACATAAGCATGCATCTATCCAGAAGCCTTTCTATTCGGTTTCAAAACCTCGTTTTTATTTCGCCTAATCTCAAACGAGAATACGCTCATATTAATTTGGCCGACACCCCGACGAATGTTGGGATTTAAGGCCCTTACGCTAGACGACGATCTGGACCCGAGTGCCCGCCGCTCAAAGGACCAGCACAAAACTGGACGATGTACGAAAAGGGCTAACATTGGCCCGGGCCCGGCTTAATTAGGCAACTGAGATTTGACAAAGCGCGACAGTACGGCGAAAATGAAGGGCCACCACAATGATAATGCTCCGTCAAAGATAACGAGGAAAGCGACAGAAAGGCGAAAGAGGGCGATTTGTCGTTAGCTCTTTACGAGCGCGAGCCCACAAACAGACTTACCAGCAGGCAGATTCAGCACGAGCTGACGATTCACCGAAGCCGGAGCGAAACCACGACTTTCTGGAGGCCGGAATGGCATTACCGCCTTCCGGCATCAGTCGACGACAAATTAATGCCCGAAGCGGGCGCCCGAGGGGAGGCCGCAGGTTTTGACCCGAGTTCAAAACGGACCCCGGTAATAGAAAAAGGACCTCCGGCGCTGTCTACGTGGCCTGTTCCCATCGGTCGAGGCTCTGGGCCTCTCGCGGCAGTCGTCGATCGCTCCCCGCACGCCATTCCGATCGTTGGGAAGTTCGAATTGCAGCGTGGACGGTCGCGATGCGTCCGATCCTGGGGACCTCCGGGCCGGACCGTGGGCTCGGAGCGTCGAGTGGGAGGCCTGGGCGGGCCATGGCCCCCGGGGCAGCTGCCTCCGGGTCGCGGGCCGTCGAGACATTGTGGCTATGGCGGTAGTGGGAAGGCCTGCGTCGGTGCTCGCCTTAATGACCGCCGCGAGTGCATCGCAGAGGATGAAGGGTCGGGACGAGGGAACGTCCGCAAAGGGACGGGGACGGAAGACTTAGTGAAGGAAGCATCCAAATTTTCGGGGCCCGGCATTGATTCAGAACTCAGCTGCATCCTATCTATGTCTCGGCTGTTTATCTTGCGGAGGCCATGTTTCTGCATGGACGCACCAGAAAACCGGTGGAGCTTAAGGGTAATGGCAGGCCGGGGAAATTTTCACTTGTGTAGAAGTAGGAGTAGTAGTAGTAGTAGTAGTAGAAGAAGAAGAAGGTGTAGAGTAGTTTATAGATCCGGGGGCTGGGCGAGCGCCTTGATGAGTTCTGTTCGGCGAGCAGAAGAAGCAGCAGAACAGAGCGCAGTTGCAGCTAGTTCAGCTGCTCTCTCTGCATGAGCAGTTAAGAAACGACGTTGCGCCACTGTGGGGGAATCAAATGTGTGCATGTGGACAACCCTAGCGACTGAATAGATCAGTGAAGTGCAGTGAGGGAGGTCGCGAACGAGTGCTCGGTGTAGAGTCTGTAGACGAGCCGAGATGAGTTTGAGCTGGACTGATTGACAGAGCAGCTTCCGACAGTGTACTGCCAAGTACACGCGCGAGCGAGTGTGGAAGCAAGGGGCGGGACTGAGTGGTGGAGTGAATGAGTGAGGCGAGCTAGCCTCGTGGGATTGCTCGTCCTTCCCGAGAGAACGCGAGAGGATGACAGGTTCTGGTGATACCCGAACTGATCGGGAGGATTTGCGTGAGGCCTTGAGGTGGTGATTTGGATCAGTGTGGATTACTAGCATTGCTCATTTTGAGCTTTTAGTTGTTGATCCGGGAGCACGCATATCAGCGAACGGAACTATGGTGTGGAGCTATTTTTTTTATTCGGGTTAGTGGGCAGAGTAAAGACAGCTCTGAGTTCCACGATGCATACTTGCATTGTGGATGGAAACGCTAGAATGTGTACATTGTGGATCATCTAGAGGTCACGCAGGGTGACCCAAAATTATTAGACCCAACGTCGTCTCATCCGGAGGGGAGCTCCTTATTTCAAAGCCCATATTTTTGGCTGTCAGTCAAGCAGGTGGATCCTTGAGCCGCATACTGGTGAATACTTTAAATTGGCAGTGGGTTGCTGCGCGCATTATGTGATTAGTTGTTGCGGTGCCTTGGATCATCAACACGATGGGTAAAACGAACTTGTATGGACATGGCCGCATGCTGAACTGGAAATCTGCGGTCACTAAGGAAGGAGAGTGTGTCCCGCAAACCTCGTGGACCGCACCACTCCCAAACCTTCTCACAGCTCTGGCTCAAGCAGCCTGAAGTTGGCAGGTACCGCAAGTGAACTCGTTCTGTGGTACGTTGTTTGCCTGAATGTATCCGCGGGAGAGTAGATCCAGGTGTTCGGCTCTCATGAACGGGACTTGCCGAAGTCGTAGTAGAGAAGGTTGAATGAATCACGAAGGATCGAGAAATGGGGACCCCGGAGATGCATCGTCACGACCTAATAATCTCTTGCGTCGTGTACGGCACAGTTTTTTCAGTGCTTAGTGCACTCTCCATTGTTATCCTTGCTGCTGTCAATTGGCGTCCATGGAGGATCTACAGGTATTTTTCTTGATTGCTCGTTTTGCACCGTCGATCGCTACCTCTGACGTAGAGATGGAGATGGATATCGTGAAAGTGAATGAGTGAGTGAGTGAGTGTGCGAGTGAGTGAGAGAGAGTGAGAGAGACAGTCCGTCAATGCCATGCTGACGAATGCAGTAGCAGCAGGAGCAACTAGATTGCTGCGAGCTGGAAATTTTCAGGACCGTCGTTCACGAGGGTTTTTCTTGAGGGACAAGTATGATCTTCTAATCATTATGCCACCGCCTGGTTGACGTGCGATTAGCGTGTCTGTTATCTTGATTTAGACCCCTTGACCGACTAGCGAGTGACTCTTATTTCGATTATAGACCTCTTTACATTCTGAAGGCCTGAAACGCGGCTGTGGTGCAGACCATGCTCATTAAGTACCTCTTCTCAGGTGGATTAGAAGATACATTCGCGTTGATATGTAGGGTGCCTCCTAAGTTCTCTCGCTATATCTCGGTTTGTAGCGTTGGTGGAATGAGAAGCTCGAGTAGAGGATCGAGCCATGACAAGCCACTGCGAAGGACACGGAACCTTTAAAGTTGCCACCTGAGAAAGCTGAGCCAAGAGCAGGATAAGCTGGCGCTTAATGCCTCTACTTTTACGTTGAAGAATTTTTCTTGCGTATCAATGTGGGTAGTGCCAAGCCTATAACAAGCCTACGAGCTGGAAGGGAATTTGCACCCATTGTCAGTTTAAAGGACGGGAGCTTTTCTCATTTTTTCTGCGGACCAAGATTATCACGGATTGTTGTGGAGAGGGATTAGAGGTGGAGGTTTTAGGTTTTTTGGGAGGGTTGGTTGTAATCTACCCCGTCGGTAGAAATTTCGGTCCGACCTTACCCGACTAGTCATATCCCGACGAGTAAATAAGACCCCTTATTGCGAGCACGAGTCTTGACTCTCGCAGTGATTGAAAGTTTCTACTACAGCTGAGAACTTTGAGCTGGCATCAGAGTTGAAACGTAGCTCTAAATGTGCATATCATCAAGTGAATAGGATTCATTACCATCGCTGAAGAACGGGATCACATCCAGTTGTTCCGGTTCGGAACAGGATTTGTTCGTGATGCCGTCCAGTTTCATTACTGAACGTGGCGTGGCGCTCATGTGACCGTAGTCCCTGAGAGAAATTTACAATTTTTTTGCGTTCCAATTGTTCTCCTGACTGTAAAAGGCATTGAGAGATTTTTACATGTGTCTAATGGATTTGTGTACCATGCAACGTCGCTTTTGCAGTTGGATCTTCGCTCGGAAATGGCCTTGGTATCTGCAAGGCCCGCAACTAAGCTATGTTGCAGGAGTATTGTGTTGGGGTGCCTGGGCTGCAGTTGTCTCTCCGATCGTGGTCCTTACGCTGTGGGGGATAAAACTAATTGTTCTCCTGGACCACGACACAATCGGTTTAGCAGTTATTATGGCTGGAACGGCTCTTTTGTTGGCTTTCTATGCAATCATGTTGTGGTGGCGAACGCAGTGGCAGAGTTCAAGTACGTGAATTATCCTTTCTCTTATGTTCGTAATCCGATTACTCTCAGCATCTATGTGATTGCCTCCATGTAACTATAAGCGTACAAAGTAGGAGGTGTAAGGAACTTCGCTTAATTTTAGTTTTTAGATGTCTGATTTGTCGCGATTTATGCCGGGTGAAGTTTATGTCAGCAAGTTACACACGATTTTGTAACTTCAGGATCTCGAGTGTAAATTCCAGATAGAAACCTGTTTACATCGCTCTGCTTCATCATTCCATCTTCTCCTACGTCGAAGGGAGTTGGTCATGTCGTATCGGTCTTAGTTTGTAAATAGTAATAATTTTGCCAGCTACTATACCAGGGCTTCTGTAAGCTACGTATACGTCATTACGCATGGCTCATCTGAGCTTCTGTATCTGAACAACACAGGTTGGAAGTGTATACACGTCCTCATTTTCGATTTCTGATCTCAACGGTCCTTCTGTTCAGCTTGGCTTCTTTGAAGGATAAGAAAATTATCTCACCTGTTGTTCTCAGTTTGGATGTTTGGAGTAATCTGAATACCTCTTCCTAACAATGATGGTTGGGATTGATTGAATCAGGGGCAGTCTTTATCTTACTTTTGTTAGCAGTTACGCTATTGTGTGGATACGAAGTTGCCGCGGTTTATGTCAGTGCTGGAAGGAGTGCTTCACATCGCTACTCGCCCTCAGCTTTCTTCTTTGGTGTTTCGGCGATTGCCATGGGTATCAACATGCTCTTTATATGCAAAATGGTCTATCATGGTGAGTGTACATCCCCTTTCCTACTTGGCAGTCTGTCGAAAGTGGTCTCTAGTTGCCTTGTTCGCTATGTATACTTCTATCGGTTAAGTGTTTCTTAGTAACCAGACGAAGAACCAGGTAATCCTAACACTGCATTCATGGTAATAACGATCGGAGACTGACGTTTCGCAGGTTCTGGCCTGGATGTGGATGAGTACGTAAGACGATCTTACAAGTTTGCTCATGCTGATTCCATAGAAGTGGGACCTGTTGCATGTATGCCAGAGCCACCGGATCCGAGGGACCCAGCCCTGCAAAAGAAAAATAGGTATGGGTGCTCCTTTATGTTTCATAGTCGTTCATGTGATAGATGTTGATAGGTCAAGGGCCATCGTGTGGCTCTCCCAAGATTGGGCGCTTTATTTTCACCAGACACTGCAAGGATCCATGACGTTGAGTACGCAAGCAAATCTTTGGATTTCAATAGGCACATTCAGCGGGCACAATTCAATACCAAGTATATTACTTGACATCAGATCGAAGGACAATCTGAGCCTGCATTCTTTTTGCTTCTGTCTGTGGTCGTATGATGAGATTTCTGATAGACTTCTTCTTATCATGCCGTGAGCAATTAGTTCTTTCTGCTAGTTTCATTACATCAATTCTGGATTGGATTTAACCTATGTCCTTTCTCGAAGAATTGGTTACAACCTTAAGAGCGGAACCCTGCATTGGCATATACCTAGGTTATGAGAGATTTGTCTTATCAAACTTTTCGGTGCTGCTTGCGCTTGATCTTGCAGGGCTCTCCGTTTTGCTACTCTCTACCTAGGTTCCGTCCTAGTGCTACTTGGATACTCGATCCTCTATGGTCTCACTGCTCGGAAAGCTCGTTGGCTTGGAGGTGTTACATCGGCTGCAGTGATGATACTTGGTCAGTATACTGCCTCTTTATGTCGATCGTTTTTGAGACGAGAAAGCCTTGTCAACTCTGATGTGCTTGATTGAATGTGCTGACGTGCTAACAGGAGTCTTGTATCTTGTTGTTTATCGCAGATGCAAATGTTGGAGCGTGTTTGTTCGGCTTTCAGTTGCTGAAGAGCCCACTTGTTGCACTCATTGTCGCAGGAGTTTACCGTTGTTTGCTAATATGTTTTGGAGTTTATTATTGGTATGAAAAGACTGCAAGTTGGGTCCGCATTTTGTTCATGTTTCCTGAAGTGGTAGTTAGATACACAGTTTACATTGAGGCTAGGGATTAGTCCTACTGCATTACAGGCCCTCTTCATTTTCAAGTTGTCCTCTCTTGTTTTACTTCTAACTGTATTCCCTCTCGTTCCAAAGTACCAAATCTCTTGATATTACTGCTCAGTACGCGCTGGGGCTTCAAGCTATTACAAGTAGATACCATCTGGTACTATCAATACCCGAGTTAGTGTACTCTTTTGGACAATGTAGACCCTCTCAGCGCACTGAACTTGGATACTGGATGTTCAGGTACCTCGGCCATTGCATAAGTTATGGGGTTGTGGCGACAGTGCTTTTAGGAGCGGCCGTGAGGCGACATCTATCTGTAATGAATCCTGCAGCCGCACGCATAGCTGCCTTGGATCATACCGTAGTACGTCTTAGAGAAGGTTTTCGAAAGAAAGGTTTGGGGAGCTCTTCTAGTTTCTCAGATGGACGTACATCAAGCGCAATGCGTAGCAGCAGTGTTGAGGCCGCCCAGGTTGGTGTAGCGCTAGAAGCTATGAACAGAATGAATTTGAGACATCCAGGTGAAGTGCCTCATTCTGGACTTGCATGCCCACAATTTGGATCGCTTGCATCGCAGCATGGCGCAATTGGGGTCATTGAGGAGTGTGTCGAGGATGCTAGCTCTCCCCTGCCAAGCGAGAACGATCAGGCTACTGGGGAACAAACCTCTGTGACGACCACCAACGAGGGCAATCGACCAGATCCGACCACAGATTTAGATACTGGACTTATTCCAGGAGACAAACAAGGGCTGTCAGAGCGGCACAGGCAGTATGTGCCAGACCTTGGGCATAGTTTGGAATCTTTTACAAGCTTTGGTGGCATGGAACAACTTGATCATCTGGCCATAATGTTTCAAGAGAGGTTGAATGACCCACGGATCACGTCCATGCTGAGACATGGCGTTCGTAGAGGAGGTGAGCAAGATTTGACAACACTGCTTGAGGACAAAGGTCTGGACCCTAATTTCGCAGTCATGCTCAAAGAGAAAGGGCTCGATCCAACTCTTTTGGCCTTATTGCAAAGGAGCAGCCTCGATGCCGATAGGGATCACAGAGACAATACAGAAGCAGGGGCCGGAGGAAATCCATCAGAAGGCGCAGTTCGGGAGGAAGTTATTACCTGGTCAGAGGAGCTCAGGATGAAGCAGTGGGAAAAGTGGATACAGCCTATTCGATTCCTTGTTAATTTGTTCGCGGGCACACCAGAGCGTGCTTGGATTTTATTTAGTGTAGTATTTGTTCAGGAGACAATATTTGTCGCAATATTTCGACCTCAGACTGTGACTGTTATAAATGCCTCTCATGAGCAGGTAAGATGTTCGCATTTTATGTTGAGTTAGGCCACGAGAGGAATTGGAGTTAGGTAATTAGTAGAGAGTACCGCAGTTTTTGCAGTCGTGAATTCCTGATCCTATTGTCACCGAACTTGTGATTACCTGTTTTAATCATGTGATTCTAATATTACGCCTCTATTCTGCAGTTCGAGTTTGGATTTTCAGCCCTCTTACTGTCCCCCGTAGCATGTTCTATAATGGCTTTTTTTTGGTCCCTACAAGCCGAAGAGATGCGCCTTACGTCGAGACCTCGCAAGGTAATCTTCTGTGTGGCCTTCTCCCCATGCTATCTATAAAAGTAGTCATCACGTTGCAGGACTTCTCATCTTATCTCTTAGTTGCATGAGCTTTTGTTTCTTTATGTTCTGGAAAAGGATCATGTGTTATGCTTTGGCTTCATGGGTGCAAGGGTCTACTACCTCTACGTCTTACTTCTTGGATCTGCCGTATGGTCTATGTTACTAGTTAAACCGGATCGATATCGCATCAGGTTTCAAGCATTTTACAAACTGGCAAGGAGAATATTGAGGAGATTTTTGTCAGTTTGACGAATTGCTGATTTTCGATTTATCAGATTGGTTTTGGCGCATGGCTTTTGAGTACATCAGTGGGTCTTCTGCTTGCCTTTCTCAGGTACAGTCACCTCATCTGAAACATTCATTCATACTATTAAGATTCAATAGTTTCCCTGTATGTTTCTGATTGTACAAGCAATTGTATTCTTCGTATCCTTTCTGACTTGCTGATGCATCTCTCTTTCAACTGATGCAGCAAATCGTCGATAATTTTGGGCCTCGCTTTAGCAGTGCCACTTATTGTGGCCTCTCTATCTGTGGCGATTCCGCTTTGGATACGAAATGGTTTTAGGTTTCATAAACCTCCTGTACGAGATACGCAGTCAGATGGAGCTCAGCATTCTCAAAGTGTTGGCCTTTTCGGACAGAAAGAGGTGAGGCTCTCTTTGACTCTAGAGCACCTGATCTGACTACCTCTAAGTATTTCCTCATGTTGACAACACTTAGATTGTATCTACCGATTGTAGTACCATGTAGCATTCAAATATGAAGGAATGACTATGCCCTGGGAATTGCACCCTCTTTCCGAGCCTGTCGAAGGTGAATGCATAGTGTATTTGTTTGGCTATGAATCGAACCTTCAAACGCTGCTCTGCCCTCACTTTATGGAGGCTCCTTGATTTATGCAACTATAACAGTAGCCTCTTTCCCAGCTTCTGGAAGCTCTGACCAGTACGTTTAAAATATTTGTGAAGCCATTGTTCATGAATCTGACCTTGAACACTCATGACGTCGTTCTTGCAGAATCTTGTTATGACTTTGGCGGTCCTTGTCTGTCTCGGTTCTATAATTGCTCTTGCTGGGATTATTTCCTTCAAGCCATTAGATGAACTGAGCTACTCTGGATGGAACGGAAAGCATGAGAAATCTGTATCTCCATACACATCATCCTTATATTTGGGTTGGGCCATTGCATCGGCTTTGGTTTTGATCTTGACCGGGATGTTACCTGCAGTCTCCTGGTTCGCCACTTATAGATTTACTCTGTCCTCAGCAGTTTGTGTGGCAGTTTTCATAGGTGAGCTCCTCTTGTCATGCAGCTGGTTCATGGTAGTTTCTAATGTCTTTTACCTGTTGTTAGCTCCTGCTTCTGAAAGGTGATAATTTTCGTATGTATAATGTATATGCCCTTTTCTCATTGAAGTGGATCACTTCTATGTGCAGTTGTTCTTGTTACGTTCTGTGGAGGCTCTTATGTCGCTATCGTGCATTCACACGATGATAAGATGCCGACGAAAGCGGATTTTCTTGCTGCCTTGTTACCCCTGGTGTGCATTCCTGCAGTTTTTTCACTAGGATGCGGCCTTTATAAGTGGTGAATTTCTGCACTTTTGGAGGCCCTTTGTCTTTTTCTGTACTCTATTTAAGGGGATACAACTACTTTTTAGCCGAGTAGAAGTTTAGACGCTGTTTAAATAACTGCGAAGAAACTGACCAGGTTTTAGTGTTACTTCAGGCATAACTCTATTCAATGTCGAGGCAAGTCGTTTATACCTATTAATGCAGTTTGTTGCCACTGATATGAGGATTATTATTGTCTAATGTTAACAATGTGTAGTTCTCAATACGAAACATCGTTTGTGAGCAAAGAGAAGGTTTGTTCCATTTCAGCGTGCCTCAGCTTTAAGTATGGATGCTAACATTGAAATGTTGCAGGAAGGATGAGGGTTGGCAACTTTCACGAGGTGTTTATGCCTGTGTTGGAGTTGGACTTCTGTTGCTGCTAGGGGCAATATCAGCTGTCATTGCCACAATTAATCCTTGGATGGTAAGTGAGAGGAATCTAACAAAAGTATTGCTTTGTTTTGCTCTTCTTCCCGATATTGTTCAGAAATAGTCATGATCAAGTCTGGAAGTGAGGTATTGACCGACTTTTTCTCACTGTTACAGATTGGAGTGGCGTTTCTTCTCTTCCTTCTCTTACTGGTTCTGACGATCGTTGTAATCCATCATTGGGCTTCACACAACTTTTATCTAACACGAGTAGAGATGGTGCTGGTCTCTCTGGCTACACTCGTGTTGGCCCTGGCAGCTTTCGCTGTAGGGCTCATCGCAGGTTAGCATCGGGTGACACAACAAACATATAATATCTGGGGGCTTCCCAAAGCTGCGACATTGCACGAAAACATTTAGCCTTTGGTCCTATTCTCATTTATCCATTATAAGTGAATTGATATTGTAAAATCTTCTCTTGTCGTCTGGATTTAGATTGAATGTTGTGGAACATTATGAAATTTATCTGCCTAGGGACTCGTGAGGTTATGTACCTATCGTAGTTGCCAGATCAGATTGCTAATATATTTTTTCTGTTGCAGAGGAGCCGTTTGTGGGGGCTTCCGTTGGATATTTCGCCTTCCTTTTTCTACTAGCAGGCAGATCTTTGACGGCAAGTACTTAACTCTTCTCGATGCGGAGTAACGAGAGCAAGTGCTTTTGTTTAAATGTAGATAAGTTCTGGATGATGCGGTAAACGGATTTTCTAGTACTTTTACAATGAGATTGGATGTTGTTCCTTCCTATACTTGAGTCCATCAACCGGGAGCAGCCACAGGATTTTAGATTAGCACTTCAGTGTATGTGCCCATTGTGAACTATTTTTGAGTTCTTTTGAGAACAGTTCGTGGGCGTTCCTTCTTTCCCTGCCTAGGTCTTCGAATATCTGGATCTGCCGTAACGGTAGATTTTGTCTTAACTCTTTGTGCTAAGAACTGTACATTCTTTTGTGTTGCAGGTGTTGTTATCACCTCCGGTGGTAGTGTATTCTCCTCGAGTACTTCCTGTCTATATCTACGACGCACATGCAGACTGCGCAAAGAATGTCAGGTCTGTACAAGCTGTTTAGGACAAACATTGTCATTACTGTGAATGTATGAAGCACCACTTGAAAATTACATTTGTCGAAAATTAGCAATTAACCTGTTCCATGCGCTGCTTATGGTTTTTGATGCTGGTTTTGCGGATCGCCGTTTAAAATTGACTCTGGTCTTCTGTACTGCAGTGGAGCTTTCCTAGTGCTCTACGCAGTCGCTCTTGGAACAGCTGGATGGGGAGTTGTTGCAAGTCTGGAAATATATCCACCGTTTGCTGGGGCTGCAGTTTCTGCTATCACCCTGGTAGTAGCCTTCGGGTTTGCTGTCTCGAGGCCTCAAACGTCCTTGAAGGTATAGTTTTTCTCCATTTAATAATATTGTATCTCCAATGGAACAAATTTAATATTGCTACTGGGACGCTGAGAGGACCTGCTATCGACGGACTAGTCTAGGTCGATGAGAAGTTCTGTAAGGCTGGTCACTAGGTACTGTTAGAGTTTCTTCTAGTTCCTTAGTTCTCTCACAATTCTTGCTGTATGGCTCACTTGCTGAAAATTGAACAGACCATGGAGGATGCTCTGCACTTTCTAAGAATCGAAACTGTTGTGCAAGCTATTGCTCGCTCTTCGACCAAGGTATATTACCATAATTTGCGTTTGAAAGTCGTCCATCACAACTTTCGGAAATGATCATCGTACAGAAGTTTAAACTGAAATTACTGGTTGTATTTCATAATATAAATCCATTTAGTTACAACCACTTATATAAGGAACACACAGGTTATTACAACTGTCGGGTTATTTTCCCGACAGTTTCTCAGTTTTTCACTGTGACTTATCTTTCTGCTTCATGATCTCATTGTATGTATCAACAGACAAGAAATGCACTTTCCGGAACGTATTCCGCCCCCCAGAGATCAGCAAGCTCAGCTGCCTTACTGGTCGGAGATGCCTCTGTTGCTCGGGACAAAGCCGGGAACTTCGTGCTCCCACGTGCTGACGTTCTGAAGCTGCGTGAGCGACTTCGGAATGAAGAGCATGCAGCTGGCCTTTATCCTTGTAGAGCCGGCGCTGCGTTCATCCGCCATGATGCAACCGCAGATGTGGGGTATCGAAGAAAGCTGTGCGCACACGCAAGGATTTTGGCCCTTGAGGAGGCAATTGATACCGAATGGGTGTACATGTGGGACAAGTTTGGGGGCTATTTGCTCCTCGTTCTTGGTCTTGCGGCTATAGCAGAACGAGTACAGGTACAATTCACCTTTTCTTTCGGAAAACAATTGAAGCTTTCAGACGACTCCCTTGATTTCTCATGGTGATGTTCACTACGCGGCACGTTGTTCACTAACTCTACGTTCTTGCACTTGAACAGGACGAAGTCCGACTGCGACTCTTTTTGGACAGTATCGGCTTTTCAGACTTGAGTGCTAAAGAAATCAATAAGTGGACGCCAGAAGACAGGAAGAGATTTGAGATTGTCCAAGAAGAGTAAGAGTGTGGTTTAGACCTCCTATGAATGTTCTTTCTCCTTTGTCTGTTGTGCAACTTGGTCTTGGCCAGGTGGTTGGATTATGTTGCGGTTCTAACCTTTGTCCTCGGCGTTTGTTTCATTCTGTCTCTCTGTAGCTATATGCGGGAAAAAGAGATGGAAGAGGAATTGATGCAGCAACGAAGAGAAGAAGAGGGTAAAGGCAAAGAAAGAAGGAAAGCATTGCTAGAAAAAGAAGAGAGAAGGAGGCGAGAAGTTGAGGCATCAGTTATATCATCTGTTCCAGATGTTGGGACTAAGGAGGCAATAGCCATGGCGGCTGCAGTTCGTGCTGTGGGTGGAGACGTCTTGTTTGACGACAGCAAAGCTGGTGAAGATATTCTTCGTCGTATCTTTTTAGCTCAAAGGGCTCGAAGAGCACAGGAGGTAAGTTGGAAGTTGGCCTTATGAATTATCTAGGAAATGAGGATTTATTAACTTAATACATATCCCGGTCCTTCTCTTCACTACCTTCACTGATGTGGAACTTGGATAAATATTGCATTGTATTGAGCATATGCGTTTCGACTGTGATCTACTTGCCTGTCAGCAGCGATCAGGTCTTAATATTCTTTGCAATTCTTGCACATGTTGCAGACTGGTGTTCCTGGAACACAGTGCATAATTGACGATGAGCCACGTTCAGGACCAAGACCGTGTGGGGTTCTTGACAGTTCCGTCTGTGGAAGTCGTAAAGTCACGTTCTCAGCAGCTGTTCTTGTTCAACCGGAGTCGGGGCCAATATGCTTACTTGGATCAGAAACCCGACAACTGATTTGCTGGGAGATTCTAATTGCTGGAGCAGAGCAAGGTTTGGAGGCAGGGCAAGTAGGACTGAGGCTTGTTGTCAAGGGTTCTGGACAAACCACTTCAGCAAGAGAGTGGAATATCGGCAATACATGTCTTGCTGATGGAAGGTGCGATGCCGTGTCCATTGTATAATTTGAAGGAAATGTGGATATAACTTTTTCGCGGCTGAATGGAAAGATGCATATTCTGATGTCTGCGACGTTTTAATATTTCGTGATATTTAGTCTAATTTGCTTCCTGCACACGCCCATATGTGGTTGAACAGGAATTCATTAACAGATGTTTCCTTCTGTTTAAAAATCTTAACGTTTTAGTGTGTCATTATTATTATCCTGACCAAAGAATATAGGAACTTATCAATGGAATTAAATTTGAAGCCCTGGTTTTCTTAGTCTTATCTATAGTTGTTTTCTTCAACAGATGGCACACTGTAACGGTTACTTTGGATGCCGAAATTGGAGAGGCAGCAGCATATCTGGATGGAGAATACGATGGTTTCGCGAAATTTGAGTCTTTGAATGGCTTGCAACAACCGGCTGAAGGCGGCATTTGGGAAGATGGTACCGAGGTTTGGGTTGGTATTAGACCACCCATGGATCTAGATGCTTTCGGTAGGTCTGACAGCGAAGGAGCTGACTCACGCATGCACGTGATGGACGTTTTCTTGTGGGGCCGGCTACTGAACGAGGAGGAGATAGTTTTAGTTCATGATTGTACCAGCATGAGCCAGGAGGAGTACAATGATCACGATCTTCCAGAGGATGGATGGCGGTCCCCTGTTGAATCACCTGTAAGCTATCTCCGAATCTCGTTAATGCTCAAATGTTCACACCGATCCTGATTAGAAGGATTGGAACACTCAGTCTGAACTTTCAAGGACTGTCGGACACTATTTTGTCGAACATGAAGTGTGAATTTTGAAGAATTTTTGTTCAATTTTGTTGGCAGCGTTTCTTTTACACGTTCTTGATCATTTCGTTCTTTTCTTGCGTGGTTTTTGCCCTCTTTACTCAAGAAGTTTATGCTTTTTATGCAGCTTGAAGATTGGAGCTATGATGCGACAGCAGATCTGGACTTATATGACAGGGAAACCATGGAAACGTACTGGGATGAGGAACCCACAAATGGTCGGAAGAGAAAACTGGAGAAAGAATCTGTGGCCCTCGAGATGGATCATATTTCGAGAAAATTGAGGAGACCACCGAGAGTTGAGACCCAGGAAGAGGTGGCACAGAAAATGAGGGCCGTCGAACTCGCCGTGAAGGAGGCGTTGGCTGCACGAGGAGAAACACACTTTACGGATCAGGAGTTTCCGCCTACCAATCAATCATTATATGTCGATCCCGAACATCCCTTGCCGAAGTTCCAGGTATGTGGTGTTTGTAGATAACAACTGTGATCCAACTCTGCGACTCTATACTAGTACTTGGAAATCATACCCTTGTAGTACGAAACTTGGTTTTTCACGTAATGACGAAATCGCTCGAGAGAGACTCACTTTCGATGTCTTTCTCTCTCATGTACGTTTATGAAATGAAAATCAACGAATTCGTTGGCCTTTGATTTCTATCGCAGGCTGTGACCGAGTGGCTGCGTACGGGTGCAGCACTCAAGGATTCAAGTCCAGTATCCCAGCCATGTCTTTTTGCAGGCCCTCCAAACTCTTCTGATGTTTGTCAGGTTAGTGTTGATGGAAATCTCATGTTTTTCTTGGCAAAAGAACACCTGCTTTGTATGAATTCAACGACTAACATTAGAACGAGAAATAGGCCGCTCGTGTATTGTAGCAAGTTTCTACTTCGACATTTCTGCTTCATGAAAACCGCCTTCGACTAGATTTCTGCACTGTGTCTACTTACCACTGGGTAACGACATGTCTTTGCATATAGGGACGGTTGGGCGACTGCTGGTTCTTGAGTGCAGTCGCAGTGCTGACGGAGACTTCGAAGATTTCGGACGTAATTGTTACGCCTGAATTCAATGAGGAAGGAATATACACCGTCCGCTTCTGCATTCAGGTCTCCCCTTGACATCCGAAATATTTCTATTTTCTCGCTTCTTTGTGTGAGAGGGATGGTTCAATGTTATATAGACGCTGTTGTGATCGCTCCAATATCATCATATCTCTTTCTGTTGGTATGTCTTCTTTCAGGGTGAGTGGGTGGCAGTAGTGGTGGATGATTGGATCCCGTGTGAGGGTCGTGGGAAGCCAGCATTTGCAAAGAGTAGAAAGCGTAACGAGCTGTGGGTATCAATACTTGAAAAGGCTTATGCGAAGTTGCATGGCTCTTATGAAGCCTTGGAAGGGGGAGTAGTACAAGATGCCCTCGTGGATTTAACAGGTGGTGCTGGCGAGGAGATAGATTTGACACAGAGTCAGTTAGAACTTGCTAGCGGTAGGTTATGGTCACAGATGCTGCGATTCAAGCAGGAAGGATTTCTTCTTGGAGCTGGCAGCCCTTCTGGGTCAGACACTCATGTTTCATCTAGTGGTATTGTGCAAGGCCATGCGTACGCTTTGCTCCAGGTATGTGAACTGATTGGTCTAAAGTACTTCGCTGTTTATGAAAACCTATGTAGTTATGTTGTGTGTATGCTGACATGCCTTCCAAGGTTGGCTGGTGGTATCTCTTTTAATCACTATTATAATGTTCATCAGTGCTTACTTCTGCATGAAGTTACGGTACTACCTTGTCCGAAATATATGGTATGGGCTCTCATCCTCGCAATGGTTTCCTGCTCTTTGGTGGCAGATACGCGAGGTCGATGGACACAAGTTGGTACAAATAAGGAACCCCTGGGCAAATGATGTCGAATGGAATGGTCCTTGGTCTGACTTATCATCGGAATGGACAGACCGTATGAAACACAAATTGAAGTACACGCCTCAGGTCAGAAATCTCCTGGATGTGTTCCCCAGTAGGCAGGCCATTGATGATCTTGTGAAGAGTGTATTGATCTACTAATACCATAAAAGTGTATCTAGAGTCGGCATTAGTGCTGCTATATCCAAATGGTTAGCAAAGTAGGCAGCACGTGAATATATCCAACCATCTCTAAGGTTAGTTTTGGTTAGTAACACGTATCTTTCTGCAACTTGTGTAGGCCGAGGACGGTGTATTTTGGATGTCGTGGCAAGATTTCCAGCTTCATTTCCGGTCTCTTTATGTTTGTCGAATATATCCTCCCGAAATGAGGTATTTGGTTCGTGGTCAATGGCGGAGTTCCTCAGCTGGTGGCTGCCAGGACTACAACACCTGGCATCACAATCCTCAGTTTCATATTAAGGCAGTCGGGGCAGATGCGCGGCAGCGCATTCATGTATTTATCACCCTCACGCAGGTATGGAATTTACTGTTAGTACTGATTTTGTCACTTCTATTCTTACTGAACATAAATTATTCATAACTGCACGTATCCTACCATGTCTAACGCGCCGATTGTACAACCGTTATGAAAAATTTGCAGGGTGTTCGTTTCTCTTCAAAAAGTCGGCCGGGATTTAGAAATTACCAGTCTGGTGGTGATTCTTCGCTCTTTTTTATTGGTATGAGGATCATTAAAACTAGGGGAAGGCGGTCCGGTCCAAATATATTTATGCACGAAGCAGTGACAGGTACTGACTATATCAATACAAGGGAAATTCCTTGTGAGATAGTTCTGGAGCCTGATCCTGATGGTTACACCATTGTGCCTACAACTATTGCTCCTGGGCAAGAATGCCAATTTTTACTCTCGGTGTTCACCAAGGCTTCTATTACTCTCGAACCACTGTGACTTCCAGTGTTAGACCCGCAGGTGGTTGAAAGAAGGTCTGTGTACTCAGTGAGTATCGCTTCCGGGAGTGTTTTCAATGGGACTATTTGACTTGTGGCCTCATCATCAGCTCATTCTGGGTTGCCCATGGAGCAGGTAAATATTCTCAACAGATCACCATCGGAGACAATCAATGTGTGTGCTGTTGAAAACCCAGTAAAAGAGAAGATCTAAATGTCAACCTTTTAACCTGGGAACCTGTGTGTGAACTTCAGGGAAGCACATACCTGAATTTGAACTTCAGGGAAGCAAATCGTCCCGACGCATGTGGAATTTTTACGAGGTCTTATCCGTATGGCATTGTAAGTGCGACGCGATCTCTATCCAATGTCCTTGTGGAAGTTGAAAGTTTTGAGTAGATGGCCACATGAAAGTGAAGTGACTTAACTCTCTATGGTCAAATCAGAGCATTTTGGCGGAAGATTGTTGTCAAAGCTTAACATAACGATTTTCCCAGAAGCATAATGTAAGGACCCCATTTCAGGAGCTTTGGGATCCTCAAGCCTTTTTCGGACGGAATATCTGAACTTCGCTGACTTCATTTTTTGCACTCCACTACAAAAAGTCCGTATTCGGGACACTATCAAAATGGTTATGGCTAGATTGCTTGGTTGATTACTTACGTCCTCGTGAATGGCTTATATTTGATGGCAGGGAGATGCATCTACTTAGACCAATGAGAACTACACGCTGCAGGGACTTCTCCCACGAAAATCAGAGATTGATTCTACTGCTCCTTCGACATATATTAGCAGTAAGCATGGTTGTATGCAATGATCCAATGTGTATGGACTATCAACCTAAATTTACAACTGTGGTCGAAGTGAGAACGCTCTTGATGATTACAACTGTAAAACAAATCTGGCTTGGTTGACATGCCCAGTCTTCCTGTAAGAGTTGTACTACTAAAGAGAAGGATCAACTCCGCGCCCTTCGGCGTCAAAATTATCCAAAATTTTCCAGGAGTGGGTGGAATTGCGATTTGTGCATTTGTTGTGTCTTCCTGCAGGGATGGAATAGTTCGAATTTGGTTTTTAAGTGGCTTGGCTTGGTAGCAGGAGAAGAATTTCGTATTTCACATCGGCCTTAGATACCACCCAATTATACATAGACCCATGTTTTCAAAGGCCGGTGGTGTAAGACACATGGAGCACAAAATTATCGCCATGGTACATGGTTCACTGCGTAATGGCTATGGTCCTGCAACCCCAACAGCGTAATGGTCTTCTAAAATGTACTTATAAAGAAATTTTAATTGCAGTCAAAACTTAATGTGGAAATGATCAACTGATCCCATAGCCAAGAGTAGATGTTATCTAGACATCTTCAATAACTGGAGAATCTTTGGTTTTGATTGGGATATAAGGGACATGAAACCACGATTTCAAGATTCCACGAATATGGTATTGTAGTCAATCCGACTTCGTGTACAGTACAAACAAATCAACTCAGTACAAATACGGAGTTGCATTCACTAACAAGGAAGAGTAGACAGAAAAGGAAAAGGAGTATTCGAAAAGTGGGCTATCTATTGCGATAACTTGCAGCAAAAACTACCTCTCCACCATTAGTGAAGGTAGTCAGCTAATCTTCTCACGACCGTAACATCCATGGAACACACAACCTGCCAGCGATTTTGTGGCCACTTCTCTGGTGCAGTTTGATGAGAACTGAGAGCATTTATGGTTCTTGGAGCAATCGAAGAGAGACGGTGATTATGGACTGTACTGTAGACTACAAAAGTCTCAGTAGTTAATGATGTTCATGGGAGGCAAGGCACATACATCCGAGTCGATTTTCAATGTTTGAATGAAATGGATGCAATTTGGCATGAAGCCGTTGAGATGAGTGTGCCCCTTGCATGAGTACACCTCTAGAATTGCAGGCAAGTCGTTTTTGGTGGGAACACATATTCTTGCTGACATAGATCGCTAGATTTCCATGTGTACTCAAGTTTGCCTTGCTCAGAGCCAGTTTGATACCAGCAACTCAACGGCGCTGTCTTATTGTCAAGGTTGGCGCTTAATCGTAGAGCAATTATTAGTGCTCTACGGACGTTGCCCTTGGTTGATAGAAGACTACAAATTGTGGCTTCTTCTGCAGGAAGTTCAGTCAGCTCATGTTCTCGATTCAGGACGAATGTGAGTAGGCTGGTCGAATTAATCCATAGTCAAATCGTTAAGTGCCATCTAACGGGATCGTGTCGCCATCAAAGTATGCAGCAGTGGTCAACTTAAGCCAATATATATTGACTGAGCCGGATAAGAAAGTTCATTTGTATTTTGGTATTTTATCCAGTGCGCCTCATATCTCATGTATTTAGTCAGGAGTGAGTATGGAGTGACTGGAGTCATACGAGGATGAAAAGTTTTCAATGGAAAATAAGGTCAATTGGACATCACTCATTTCACGAAGTGAATATTTGCAATTTTAGAAAAGATTTGGACTTTTGGAAAGCTCGACCCCAACATGAGATATCATTGGCTTTAGTAATTTGAGTAATGTAATTTCGATAGTATGGCTTGCTGACTGAAACATCCATTGCAGATATTTTCGATTGAATTAATACCTCTTTTGAGTTCATGGAACAAATTGTTTATATTGGAATACTTCAGATACACTTTTCATTAGTATGCTATTTTGGTCTAGCTAACTAGAATGATTTTTTCCCATGATTCATTGGTGTAAAAGTCAATAAATTCAGATGCAATCGTAAATAACGTATGAAGTCTTCTAAACAGAATATAATTACCATTAATGAGTTTAATTATTCTATAGCAATGAAAGATATACTTGTCAAGGACGTCGAAAGTGAAAAGTAATTTATATATACATATATCTTTCTTAAAATGAGAAATATATTGAAATGTAATAAACTATAATTAGTAAACGTCGTTAATTACAAAAAAAACCTCAGAAACGTTTCTTAAAACTTTTGAATTTTTCAAGCATATGTACTTCATAATTTTCATAATTAAAATATTTCATAATTTTCTATGAATTATTCTAACTAGTTTACTTATATGTTCAATCTTCACAGTCAAATTTTGATTCATTTTATCCATTAATTTACATAAATTTTATAATTAAATAATGCATCATAATTACTCTCCATTTTAATAGTTCAAATATTCGCATGGATTATATGGGTATATATATATACCCATATATATATATATATATAGTAGAATTTTTTGATTTCAAAATTTAATCAAAAACTGAAATTCCCATAAATTATTATGCAATTGTAAATAGCTCTAAAAATGGAAAATTGATATTTATGTGTTTAGGATATATCCATTTGATTGAGGAATTTAATCAATTCATGTTCAAATCTTAAAATTGGAGAAAAATTCCAATTCTTCAAGATCAATTAGAAAGCTCCTGAATTCAATTTCAATATACTTTTACAAGTAACATTATCCTTATTTTTTTATTTGATATAATTTTTTGAAAACTAAATCAACCTAATTATTCATAATTTAATAATGAAGTTCATCATGAATATTAATCATTACAAATAAATTCACTTTTAGATTTGATAACATTGTGATATCAAGTAATGTGTCTTGAACTCTAAAATATTATAGAGTATTTTAGATAATCTCATGGACTTTGTTATTACATACGTTGGTTAATCTCTGTTTGAATCAAATTATAAGAACGTATTATATTTTTTGAGTTTTAAAGATTATTTATCAATCTTCAATACACTTATGCAGCTTTATCAACTGTAAATTAAATTTCAACTTAGATAGTTTCTGAAGTTGCATTTGTGTATACTTAATTTCTGGCATGAAAGATTCAACTTCGAATGAGATGTTACTTTTTCTTTGGGAGATGTGTCTTGTCATTCCAAACTCTTCAGAGAAAATGAATAATCTATTCATAACGAATAATTTTATACAACAGTAACGATAATACTTTTTCACTATCTGCGAACATTCTGAAGTCATAGTACATGGACTTGGAAACTTTATGACATTCATGTCATTCACAAGTGAAAGGCCATAGATCAGAGCTCAGGAGGATATGCAACCAACCAAAGAAATATCTGAAGTGGAGCTGGCAATAAATATGTGAGGTTTTCTGCACTGCAGTCAACCATGACTCTACATCTTGTTTTGACTTGTTCAATTAGTACTGCATGCATCGAGGACCGCTGGTTCGATTAATTTCCACAACTCGAGGACAGGGCGGTGAGAGAAATACAACGTGTCCCAACTCCGATTCCGAATGAAGGAACGGTGACGATGTTTGTGCTCTGGACTGAGAAGTCTCTGGCTGGAGTGACAGTTTACGCTCTCCAGAGATAGCAGTGTTGTTCCTATCCCAAGTTCAAGCTCGTGCTTGAACTCGGAATTTCCGAGCATCTGACAAAATGTAGGCAGGAAAAACCGTATCCTGCGCAGACGAGTGAAGTGGAGGAATTCTTGGTTTCTTGGAGGAATTGGAGAAATTCTCGTTTCTTGGAGACGAAGTCCGGAACTGGCAGCGCATTTATCGCCTCGTCGAGCGAACCTCGTCAAAAGGTACTGAGTAGATGACAGTGTTATGATTTTAATAAGCAGCGTACGATCCGTGCACGTAGAAAGCAGATTGCGTCCAACACTCTTTGCACAATGAGAGCAATACACATCGATGCATCCATGTTTCCACGAAACAATATCATCCGTACGCGTGGGGTACATGATTCGACCTCCCTCCCTCCCTCCCTCCCTCCCTCGAGGACCCAGGAAAAGCATCGACGCCGACGAGGAGCAGTGAGCCAACTCCTCTCCTCTCGCTCCCTCGAGACTCCGACCCTTTTCTGCACTGCTCGCTCGGCTTGCACAATGGCCTCGGCCGTAGCCCCATTCCGCACCATCCCTCTTGGCTGCACTGGAACTGCTGTCGTATCTGAGTGACATAGCCACACTTCACTACCGGAGTCACGCATCGGACTTAAAACAAGAACACGAATATCACCTGCCTCCTCGGAAATCACGAAAGGATGACACGGGGCATAGTACTAATAAAACACCGGCGTTGTCAACATGCGCTCTCCCTCTCCCTCTCGCTCTCGGCTCCAAGGCTCGGACTTTGTGTTGCCATGCCTGCCTGCCTGCACCATTTTCGACGTTCGGCCTACGCTGCTATGACTTGGAACGTCGTCGTGCCATCGTTCTGCGCGCCCATCCGCCATTCTATTATAAGATCATCCGCACCATTTGTCCCACCCACCCTCGCCTCCCTCGCTCCGTCTTTTGCAGGGCGACCGATCCATAACACAGAAATGCATGGCATTGGCAATCCACCTCACGGGACCTGGAGTCCATCATCATCATCATTTTCCTCCCGCTCATCATTATCATCATATTCAAGTCATCCTACTCGTCCCTCAAGAAGAAGAACTGCGTTCGAGTTTGCCTTCTCTGACCGATTGATTGTTTGTTCATCATCACCATCGTTTGTTCGACGTCGGTTTGTGACTTCAGGTCTCTCTGTGATATGCTAGGTCTTGCATGCTGACTGTGCGTGCTCTTGGTGGTTGGACTCCGTTGCTTTTCGTCATTAAAGATCGGTGTTCGGCAATCAGCTTAAATTTTACCCTTGTTCCCATCATCAGATACCTGTCGAAACGCTCGACACTAATTTCGACAGCTGAGGAGCAGAAATTAGACGCAAGATGACAGGTCCTGTTTTTTGCGTGCTCTGCGACTGCCATAGAATCTAGACATGAAAATGACCTCCGATCGTTTGTAGTAAGTATCACAGATCTCTGATGAAAGTCCACTAATTTGAATTTCATTAACCCCTTGGTATCTATCACGAACGGAGCATTTGCAAAACTTATGTGCATGAGGTCAACCACAATACATGATGCAACGTAAGATCACAAGATGTTATTTAGGTCGGTAGTAATTGACGTACCTTTCATCATAATTCTAGTGGGGAATAATAGATCCTGGTTTCGGTTTTTATTCTCTTCTCACGCGAGGAGTTTCATAATTTTTTTCCGATCCACTTGGCCCCCTTCTTTTTTTGATGGATTGAAATGACAATGGAGCTTCCCAGCTGCACGGGAAAATACTGATCTGACGTCGACTGATGTTTCTCCGTTGTAAACAATCGTCCATAATAATAATGTGCTCAATCATACATGTCCTACACTTTTCATACATGCTTGAAGATAGAGGGTGTTGCTCGAAATCACCTCCTGTAACATGGTTATGGATGAATGTCGGCCTTTTTGACATGTGAAAGAAGATGAAGGGCCTAACGTTCATATATAAGGTATGTTCAAATTTCGTAAGGCCTCACAGATGCGAGGGAGACGGTCCGCTCTACTCCAGGGGCCTCGCCTCGCCTCGCTTTGCTTTGCTTTGCTAATATAGATTAAGTAATTCATATTTATTTGGTTGGATCCAATTAAAAGAACAAGCTAGTAACAAATCAATGTAAGTCTTCAAATAGCGAAATTACTGCGCCTCGAAGCGGGAAAGTGACCAGGGGATGGTGAGTGTGCGGCCGTTGGTTCGGAATGAGACGCGGATCGCATGCAAACTGACTTGTACTGGGCGGAAGCAGGAGGTGGCGAAAGGACGTGGTGACCGGGTCCGGCGGTGCCCATTGCCAGGCCGACAGGCTGGACGCGGGCTGGCTCGAGCAAACCGCTGCTTGTAGGAGTGTAGGTCCAGCTTCGGACATCGCTGTGGCCCCTTACGTCATCGACATACTCCCCTGTCAGGGAATAACAGGTACCTGATATCGGGTCTGCAACCCGTGCCCTGAATCTTCATTCGGTCCCAATTTAGCGCCGAGTCCAGCCAATCTACTCGATTCTCGTTGACCTGCGAATTTTCATAGAATCCTCGAATCTCTTACATGGATTCTGGTTTGATCATGTCTCATTCCGATGAATGGCATCACTGATTAAGATTGATAAGAACCGCAACTAATCGGCAATGATTTCAATGTTTCATAATCCTGCCTGCTTCATAGCACACGAGAAATAGAGTTCATAATGCAGTTCAAAGACCACTACAAGAACATTGAAGTCTGAAAAGTTCAGGAAAAAATACCACCGGGGCTCCAAATGTCCCGAAAAGGCGACGGTAGCTACTTCATGGCAGTGTCACAAGTGGGGTGATCTCCCTACATGTGAAAAGAAAAAGAAAAATCAAAAGCTTGAAATTATGCGAGCCACCAATCATTTGAATCCTCAAGTCGCTGCGTACGAATAGACTTTATAGGAGAAGAAAAGGAAAGAACACAAAAGCTCGTTGTGTCGGTCTGGATTGGAATGGAACCAAGTTCATTAGGGAGTTTCACCCCATATTTTTATGAGCGGGTTCTTTTCTATGATAGACATGTCTATCAAGCAAAATTATGCGGACCGCGGGAGACAAAGTTGCGGGTTTCGAAGGTACCTCAAGGTCAAGTGTCCGGGGGAATGAAAGGGCCCATGACGGATGAGTATTCGAACAAAATAACGTCTGCTCTGCTCTGCTCTGCCCTTCTCTTCTTCATTCGATGTATTGATTGATTGGGGGTACACCGGGGGGATGAGATATAAACAACAAATAAACCGTTAGAGCAAAATAACGGGTGCTGGCCCACCCCCCGTGCGGCACCTCTTCTTTGCTATATGTTTCGGAGGACAATCATCCTCCTTCGGACATGATTTCTTCGGTCCTTTCTGGCCCACTGTTTTTAATGGCACTCAGGTCCCACTAACATAACAGGCTCCCATACATCAGTTTGTGGGACCCCTTCCAATTAGGGTTTCACCTCCCAGATTCCCACCTCGTTCCATTTTGTACTTATCTCTTGTTCTCATACTTTTGAAATTCGGCCTTGGGAAATAGAAAGAGAGAGAAAGCGTCAGACCATATGTTACGGTGTTCGCTCAAGTACTCCTCCTTTCTCTTTCCTCTTTGAGTGCTTGTGTCTTTCTTTCTGATTGCGGGCCGGCCATGGGATCTAAGTGGAGGGAGGGAGGGATTTTGGAGTTTGGAAGTTTGCGTCGCACATCGTTGCAGTGTGCATGCTTTGTGGATTTGGTGCCCGAGGGCTTCGTTTTTCTGGAAAGTGTGGTTGCTTTTCTCTCTTCTTTTGAAGAATAATGGTAGACAATATCCTTGCGATGGAGGCATGTCGTACAAAGATCGAAGATGAGGACGAGTTGGACAAGTTATTGTCTGTGATGGGTCGGTGGCTAGCACTACATAGATATTCGGTTCGGAGGAAAAAGGTAAATTACATGTTGTACTTCAGGAGGACTGCAGAGTAGACGATGTCCTTCCAAATCGATCGAATCTAAGTACGTCAACTTTCAACTTGTTCTTTGGATGGTATCTTCGCTGGCCTCTGCTGCCGATCAAAGTATATAATATTCCCGGTAACACTCAATCTCGTAGAATTGGTACTACTATTGGATGGCTTTCGACATGCCCATCATTGTGGCAGTATTCTCATGATTGATTGGACACAAGGCCGGGACCTTTAAACTGACAATCTTTCAAAATTATATTCGATTTCACATGTATAGCTTGGAGAATCATGTCCCTTCAAGTGCATAACCATGCCATATAATGCACATGCGCCAAGAAAAATTTCCATTTCAACGAATACTTGCACGATAGAATTAAGGTGTCTACGTGAAACCCATCTGGGAAACGACAATGTTGCAATGAAGTTTTCCACACATAGAGATGTGGTAGTTAGATAGCTGCGACAAACGAAGACATGCACCATAAGAACTGTCATAATGTGCTGGTACCAAGACAGAAGTTGGAGATTCAGATCCAACACAATTCAGAGTGCAGGAACGGGAGGAAGGAGGTGGTAAGGGCAGGTGGACTAACCCTGATTCTTGATCTCTGTCCTTGTCAGCACCATCACCTTTTCTCGGTATTCATTGTTTATCTCCTTCATTATCTCCTCCCGCGAGGGAAAAGTCCTTACGGAATATAATCACACAGTGTTTTCGTATCACATAATTCTCAAAGAATAGTCCTACAGTTCCGCATGCAAACAATCACTAATAACTGTCATTTTTTTGAAATGGAATCAAGGTTTATATCCAGAACGAGACATGCAGAGGATAAAGTAGACTGTCTGTGGTGTTACATCCGTTTCGAGATCAAATGCATTAAGTATTATCCTCTGTTGGACCTACTGTTGTGTCTGTGCCAGTGATAGACTTGCTTTAAATTAACGCATACATGACAACGGCAATACTTCTTTTATGAAGTCTATGATTATGTATTGCGAAGATACGTAATCTCACAGCGTATAATATAAAGGATTTCGAGCTATTACGTGAATTTGATGATGCTGGACCAATCGATCGAAACACGAATGAAGGCATAAGTTGTTGCTTGATATGCCGTCTTATTGCTTATCGCACTGTTCTGACTTGTTTATTCTCATACAAAACTGACTACATGGAAGGATTTTCGTTTCTTGGACTGAATCAGACTGCGAAATGTTGGAAATTGATGTGGAATTCCAGCAATGTACGTCATAAACAAGGAGACGGGCACCTGGAATCAAGCGCGAGAGTGGACTGGGGACATATATTTCGAGACTGAATATTCAGATATGTTTGTTGAGACCAATACCATTGAGAATGGAAGTGATTTTTTTATGAATATGGTCAATGAGGATGCACTTGTTACACTGCCTTTGTACCAACGTATGTAATTGAAATAGTTTTGTAAATTCTAGTGAGAGCGTTGTGCCAAAGGGGACGCTCTATTTAAGTTGCAGTTGCCCAGGACGAGAAGGGGACCTAATGAATTTGAAAAAAAATGGGAACGCCCAATCAAGCCTTGAAAGTAGTGTGCAAAGTCTATAAAATGCTTTCTAAAAGTGTTACTCGGAGGCATGTTCAATATGGCAATAAAATTTAGATAGAAGATAGAAAAACTCGCCAGTGAATGAATGTCACACCAAATTATGCATGACAAGACTCTGAGGCCGATGTGTTCAAACCCATCTCGAGTGATAGCGTTTTGAGTAACAAATATCGTTACGAGCAGTTGAAGAACTCTAAATTCAACCCAAAAAAGTTGAAAGAAATAAGAAATACAAATCGTCTCTACAACTTAGTTCTTAGTATCCTCATTAAATTTTGCTAAGTCGTTGCAATATGTTCAAAATCAACACAATGATTACTGAATTTTGTCGATTGAGATATCACATCTATATGTCACTTCCATTAAACCACTCGAGTTTCAGATTCTCATTTTTGGTGAGTTCTTCAAAATATGTGGTTAATGTGAGATTCTATGCAGACCATCCAATGATTCTACAGATTATTTACAAAAACAATTTGAATACACAATTCTATCCAAATTTTCATTTAAAATATATAGCATTTTTACAGTGAAATCGGCATGCTGAATATTGACACATCATACACACGACAAATGCACAAACACAAACATCATTGTTCCTGTATAGATAGACTTCTGTAAACATATTCACTAATTAATATTTATGCTTAGATTTTGCAAACGTTACATTAGCTAAAAAAGTTGGTAAAAAATTTTAAGCATGTTGTTAAGTTTTTTTATCTTCTTTTATGTTATAAAGACATATATTGAAAATGACATGTCAAACATATATTTTGTGCTAGTTATCGTGTGTGTTGTTGCTAATAAACGTAAAATTTTAAGAAGTGATATTATGATATTTTTCTTGGTAAAATATTATGTACATCTTATCTTGTGTGATCATGTTTCATATTAATAAAAATATATTTTTAAAAATAATTAGATTGATTTTTTATAACTTTTTTAACCTATAACAAAATTTAATGAAATATTTGATTTTATTGAAAATATCTGGAAAAAACAATTTATCATTGTTCAAAATTCAAATCAAGTATTAGAATATAATTATATTGAATTATTTTATTTCTTGAAAAAAATGATCAAACATGCAGTATTTTTAATATCTAATAAATTCTAACCAAATCTATTTTACAAATATTATTTTATGAGTGTATAATTATTTTGGGATTCTTTAATTCAACTCCAAGTTGTTAAATGCATAATAGGGGGTGCAATTTTGCAAATTTTTTTTTTGGATGAAGATCATATGCAATTTTTGTTTGCAATTAAAAAAAATTTAAGTTTTATAAAATCATGATGATAAATATTGAATTTTTGAACGAATTAAATTTCTTAAAATGAAATATGCTTGAATGTAAGACTCAATGTTAGAAAAAAATTTAATAATGATAATTTTGAATAAAATGATAAATTAATTGTTAAAAATAAATAAATTCCACTCTAAAAATGAGCCATTAAGGATAAGTAAATATATTTTTCGTATTTGATGAGTATTGAATAATGAAAGTTCACATACATTTCAAATTGGAAAACTAGTAATTAACTTCTATTCATAAAAAAAAAAAACCAAAACCATATCTCACCGTAGGGCAATAACTTTTGCCCTACATACATCACCGATTGATGCAATCACTGGTAGAAAAATAGATTAGTCGTTTATTGTAGCATCTAGATAATCTAGTTCTTTCTGATGCAATATGAGAGAATTAGAACAGTAATGACAATGGTACCTAGCCCCATCCTATCCATGGTTTTTTCCCTATAATTGGGAATTTATCAAGAGACTCCTTTTTATATTTTTTAAAGTCAAAAGTTTGACCTTCTTCGCGCCGTGGCACACTGAACGTTGTGTAAACTGCATGATAGACTTTATGATGCATTCTGGATTGCTATCTTCTCCTCGGTGAACACGCGGGAGCACATTGACAAGTGTAATGTCCATGAGGTCGAATCAGCATGCGCCCAAGGAGTTGGAGACATCAAAACGGGTCTTTCGATCGATTGAGGCCAAACAAAGATTTGGCCTCCGATCTGACACAATTCTTTCGTTCGTAGACACCAATCGGTTCACAAGTCAAATACCTGCACCTGGGACATTAAGCATTTGATTCGTACAGTGAGAAAGGAAATGAGAAGTTTTGAATTTTCACACAACTGACATATCTGTAAAAGTTGCATTGTGACATGAGTCTAAATTCCTCTCAAGTTCGTAGATACACTGCAGTAGACCTAACGCGCTTACGATTGTAAGCTTTAGGTCGGAAATAACATGCACTGCAGTATAATGGACTATCGTCTCGAAAGTTCTCAATCTAAGCTTTGATGCGCAGACGAATGTATTTGTGGAAGAACTAACATGCATGACAATTCTCGTTACAATTCTTGAGGAGCCTTCAGTATGAAGAAATATTTAAAAGATTGCCACTAAATACAGTAATAAGCAAACAAACCCGTATCTTCACTTGCTAGCCTATCTGGAGGGTGTCGCCGCAAATCCTTTTCAGATTCAGATAAGACCGGGTTAAGAAAGAGAAATGTACGAGAAAAGGAAAAGAACTATCGGTTTCTGTCCTTTCGAAGGTCTCGTTTGGTAAGATTAACTCATTACTCTTTTGAGCCAAGAGTATCTGCTTGGCCAGGTTGTTAATCACAGTTCCACTTCTTTGCAAGAAGCCTCAAACAGGTTCAAAGAGCGAGAGAAAATGCAGGAACATGTGGGACTCAGTTTAGTGTGATCCGGTAAGGCGCGAGAATCCAGCAATTAGAGCACATACACCAACAAGACTTCGTTTTATTCCTGTAAAATCGAAACAAGCTGAGAACGCGCACACACCGATCGCCACAAGTGAGGACTAGTTTCGTCGTCGACGACGAGATTCTGATACCGTGCAGAAGTATTTGCGGAAGACATTTAATTTAAATGCTCGGTTGTAAAAGCGTTTCACACAACGGAAGTCATAGAAAGCACATCTCCGGCCTCGAAGCGAGACCAGCACCAACAAAGCCATACATGTCCCGTCGATGTGTACGACGCGCTCGAAGGCCGACACCTGCTATCCCGCAGTCCACGCCAGTTTCTGTCAATCCGACAATTCCCTCCCCGGGAAGAAATGAGCCGTCTTCGCGCGAGAGCTTGAGGTCGTTGAGGTGCCTCCAGTTGCTTCGACCTCCCCGGGAAGTTCGAAAGCCTCAATTCGAAATCGTCTCGATCCACGCAGCTGCATAGGAACGCTCTTTACATGAGCTCCTCAGGGCTCGTGTCCGTATCTGCGAGCATTTCGGGCTTTTTCAGATGTGAACAACTGGACCAGCGGATTCATTCCGCAGATCCCCGTCGTGAGATCCGGGCCTTCCGTTCTGGGTCGTAGTAACCCTAAGTCATGCCGCTGCAGCGTATTCCCTTGTCTGGAGTGCTACGGACTACGACAATTCTACAGTGGGGAATTTGAAAACGCACTGAGCTCCAATACTTTATTATATTCTCTGGGAGTCTGGATGGGCTTGTCTGCTTGCTCCTCTGTAGGGCAGCAGGGCTGGCTGTATTCTGGATGCATGCAACATGACGTCCTCGCTTCGACTTCTGTCCGTCGAATCGAAGCCTACGGACATGTTTCTTTTGCCCGACGAAGGGGGATGGCGGTCTTTCTTTTCTTTTCCGGAGAATCCTTGCACTCAGCGACTTATTGGCCCGTAAAATGCGGTCGTGATATGTTCAACTTCTTCTGCACTTAGAACAGACAGGGGAGATCGCGGAGTTTCGACTTGTTATTGTCCAGTAGGTGCTAGATGCTTCACGGATTGGTAAGTAGTATGCTTTGGATTCATTAGAGCCATTTGACGAAGGAGTGAGCTTGTAGAGCAGCCTTTCGGTAATTCGAGAATGATCAAAAGAATCGACATCCATTCTCTTTACTCCGAAAAAGACGAGGCATTCGTTTCAGTAAACATATTGGGCCTACGATGAAAAACATCTGTAATGATGTGTGATTGATCTTCTTTACATTTTTATCTTGACGTAAATCATCCAAATTATGATGTCCGTCAAGATGAAAAATTTAAATAATGGTCATCGTGTCTTACAGGTATTATTCACTTGTTTGAGGTTTTCGAGGAGTTCTACGGCTAAGCTCATCCGTGAACAATGTACTTTAATATTTCGATTAACAAAGTCTGGATATCATGTGTCTGAAAGCAAATTTACTGTAACATGGAGAGATTAGAAAAACCCGTTCTTCACCCATAACTCAAAGACCCGTTCATCTCACAAAAACTACCATGAAAAGAAATGGTGTGTCAGTTATGCACGGTATGTTTGAAACTTCTTAAGATGTTTCCCCGTTTCAGGACTCCAAGAAAGATCAGGAATACAGATGTCCATCGATCAGTTAATGAGAACAAGAATCCATGACCTTTTTAGAATGTCGAACCCTGCTTCGGCTATTTAGGACCAACATCAAAAGCAGTGCTGTGAGGCTTTTGAAAGTTGGCTCCATGCCTGAATCACGTTGTCAAATGCATGTTTCCAACAATATTGGACCATGTGAAGATATGCAGAGGAAGTCATAAGCAGGTTTATGACAGTTGTTAAGCCAGCAAACTTCTTCATGCCGGATGTCTATGTCTTAAATGACTATGAGTCTAGAAGGTCTAACAAAGTACCATTGTAATCCGGTAGCTCACGACTAATATATCATCTTACGCACACGGATTTTGAAATTTTGAAATTCTGGGCAATTAATTTAATGAACTACTGGTGCTTTTTGGTAAGGTTTCTGAAGGTTTATCTCCATGTACCAGATCTTTGATCAAAATGTGAAAACCTTTGGAATTAAAATAACGAATGGAAGTCAAAATAACACACAATCTCGATGGTCGAAGATTTTCTGTCGATTCCAGCTAAATAATTGCAGATTACACAGAAAATTGTTTATGTGTTAGGTGATGACGTTAGCCGAAAGGTTTCGTTCGGATAATTCTAAACATTGGCATAAAAATGAAGTGATTCCCGGTTGAAGAGTATTTTAGATGATGATTTGGAAAACCATTTCAAGGACTTAATGGCTTTTTTCAACAAAGCTGATGTTATAGCATTTACCAATAAATAATGAGAGATTTGCTTGATGGGACCCCTGCGGAAAGTAATTTGCTTGATGGGACCCTTCAGGTTTCATTTTACCCGATGGGACCCCATGAACGATGCACCCATGAACGATGCACCGTCACCCATGTTCTAATAACAACTAGAGAGAGTGCAACGAGTCCACCGCAACCGCAGACAGAGTGGACTTCGGACTCCATCACACTCACTTGTTTTTATGTTGTCATTCTATATCCGGCCACTCTCCAAGGAGATGAGCAAAGAAATGTTAATCCGGAGTTTATTTGTTCGTAACAAATGGGTGATCGTGAGACTTGAGCAGGGTTACGGAAGGAGTGTGCAGGTGGGAAGCAACAGAGAAATCCGCGAATTTTTGTGGTGGGAAGAATTGAAGCACAACAAATTGCACTTCGAGCAAAATCGATCTTTGTCCCCATGATAATCCACCAGAAATTATAATCATGGATTGATCTCTGATTGTAGATCCCGCATTGTAACTAATAGTAATCTTAGTTACAAGAACTATGTACGACCGCACACTTTCGTTGGGGTCCCATCGGGTAAAACTAAACCTGAGGGGTCACATCAATCAAATTACTTTACTTAGGGTACTATCAAGCAAATCTCTCATAAATAATGGATAAACTTTTTTAGAATCAATCTGGTTATCAGGAGTTATGTTCTAGAGGTCTCAGGCGTTTCAGCTTCACACATGTTGCCATCTGCAATCTTGGAATGACCCAATGCGTTTGTGTCATGTCAGATCTTTATGCTCCAGTTTCAGTATACTAACAAGAAAGTTAGCGTGACATATGTGAGATATATTGACAATATGTGTGACATATTGTGTTTTTTAGCCTTTTGACCCTTTGGGTCCCACGGGCTTGATCTATTTACCATTTACCATTTATAGTAAAAGCGGAAAAGAAAAAAAGTAAAAGATGTCAAGACAAAACGTTGTATAGTTGAGAAGATTTGGATGTTCAGGTTCAACACGTGTCGCCTCCTGACGAATGGAGTATGATCCATCGAGGAACAAAAGTTTGCCCAGGTTGAAATAATGACACTGTATTGTTTGTAGGGTAGGACTCATCAAGAAGATCTTTTGGACAGAAGGGAGCACATTCAATGCCAATGGAATGAAATCCTACACACGGTCACTCACAGAACCAAAATGCTCATCGGGGGCTGATTGCAGGTGCACATAGTTACGAGGTAAGACCAGCACAACATCACAATGCATGAACAAAAATGCATCGTTTGTTTGTTTGGGGCACTGTATTAAGTTGTTCTCGAGTCAAGCTGGACACTAGGATATTAAATTTGTCCATGTCCAAATCATGATGGCGAATGTACTTTGGATTTTCATATATTTGTACAGATTCACCCTCGTAACTTTTAACTAAATCTAGATCATGTAGTTTTAAACAGATCCGTATCAAACTCAGGTAGACTAGGGGCTTGCTCATTATGTAAAATGGCTGGCTGAAATAGGTCCATACTCTGTAGTTGCATGTTCTTCTGATGTTTGCGTAATGCATTCCTGTTTTATGCGCAAAAATTAGGGATGATTTTTCTCGACTGCACTGCGTAAGCCGCTCTGCCGCAGTCGAAGAACCAGGACTGAAGAGCCGGGCGGTAATTTCGCCGCATCCGGTCTTGGCGTCGGAGTGAGAACAGTAGTACCACTCCTGCTCCCGCAGGCTTACAAATTTATCGATTTGTCCGGGAATTAATACGAAAAAGGATGCTCCTTCTCGATCGGGATTTCGTCGAGGATACGCGTGTCGTCCCAACATTGGCGTCCGAGGACCTGACTTTGCGCACGATCTGGACTCCAGTTCGCAAGGAATAGCATGCGAGACGGGTCCTCGACGGGAGAGGACCGGCAAAACCAGGGAAATATTCAAAGAGCTCGCACGTCACATCACCCGCCGTCTGTCAGGCTTAGAAGCCATTTCTGTTTTCATGGCGGTCGTATCTAAGGAAACATTCTTCCGGTGTAGGCGTAGACTGTGAGAGGGATGGAGCGTCCTCCCATCCTCGTGACTCCAGCGTCATCTCCGCTTTACTTCGGGTCTCGGCCGCGCGGGTGGAATTAATCCGGCAACGTCCGAGCCGCTACGTCCTGTAGGCTGCCGGTGCCTCTTTATTCTCGGCTCCATTGCACCTTTCACATTTGGACCTCTTTCTTTTCCTCAGGAAATTCGACGTTTCCAGCACAGCTGACTTGTCTTGAACACGTGGTCTGCTCTTGTTGGCTCTCTCCACGTCGTAGCATTCAGGTGCGACCGCCTCATTTTCCTACTCCGGACTGGAAAGCGAACAGCAGATTAGACAAAATGGCCCCGGTAATACGCGAGCAAATTTACCGCCTCCGATAAGGATTCAGTCGCTCCCTGGGACAAGGGCAACGATATGACTTCTTCGCTGTGTCCCCCGACTGCGTTCAAAACTCGGGCATCTGGCACGGGAATTCTGTTCCCTTCTCCGCCGATCTCATCTTCCGATGCAAAGTGACAAACTTGAAACTTTTCAAGTTTGTCACGTATGCGTGGTTATTTTCGGAGGTTGAATGATAATCGAAATCTATTACAGCTAAAATAAATTCCGTCTGTTTCTTTCTGTTGCAATGGTTGAAGGCTGTTTGTCGTTTAGTCGCCCCGGGGAATTGAAGGAATTTTTGGAATTCGCGATGAGCGTGATGGAGAAACTTGGCAGGGGAGGGATTCGGATCGGGATTTTCCTTCGCAGAGGAGCAAGGCGCGGGCTTCCGAACGGGTTGCTGGTGCCATACATCCGGCTCCTGAAGAGTGAGACGCACTTTAGATCATGACAGAGTATCCACTTGTCATGTTCCAATTTTCGGGCTCCTGGGAAAGAAAACCGCTGTTGTCTTATCGCTATGTCATCCGGTTGACGCTGCAATAGTTAGAGTCCAATTGTCGCTTTACAAATGTCTGCTTTTTCGTCATCTTAACAACTTACCAAGTGTCGTTGCCTCCCCGAAGCCAGCCCCACCTTTTCCCGTCTTTCAACCCCTCGCAGCTTTCCAGCCCCAACTACCACGAACCTGGCTCATGACAGAGCAAACCGTGACACAGAGCCGGAGCCACGAACCGAAGCACCTCTGGGCGGCTACTGCGGTGAAGTCTGCAGTCCGCAGACCTTAGTCCTTTCTGTAGGATCTGGATTTCTCCTCCCGTGATCCCGTCTTTGTCTTTGTCTTCGCCTCCCAGCCTTCCCCTTCAGGTTGACCGGTCAGAACGGCGGACTCTTTCAGATCTGGTCACATTCCTCTCGTCGCGCCATGTAAAATCGACGGAGTCGAAAACGGAGCGGTACGTCTGACGCATTCCTACCGTCGGAATGCAGGCTGGACGTGAAGCGGCGCACAGTCCGTCGGCAGAGCTTCTACGTCGTCCGAGTGAAGGAAAGTCGCATTCGAGGGGGGAGAGGGAGCCCATTCGAGGCTTCGAAGACAAGACCGGACGCACTCAATTGTCTGCGTGAAAGATTTCCCACGAGCACACCGACGAAGCCTTCGAACCCTTACGTTCTTGTCGGATCTGCAAGGGTGGGAGATTATCCTGCCTTAAGAGACGCGCAGGCTCAGGAACGTTAGGCGGGCAGTCCTCTGGGCTGATATGCTCGCTACACGTGGGCCTCCTCGCGCGTGCATCCAGGACTACAGCCGGTAATCGGAAAGAAATGCGCCAAACACGTACGTACATACTAGGTACGGAGCGAAGATAGATGTGGGCTCCGGGCAGGCTGGGCGAAAGGTCAGCGAGAAACAACAAGGCCGCAGCGGGACATCGGGCAGCGGGCTCTATTTTCAAACGTCCAGTTTCGTTTACTCTGTAGGAAAAATTATGCACAGTATCTACTACAGCAACACGTGTCCGGAAATGACATGACCAGAGGTGAAATCTGACACGTGTTTTGTTAGAGATTCAAGAGGTGGATTGCCACCTGACTGCCTCCCGTCACCACGTGTCTGACCCAATTATTATTTCGATTAACTTACTCGAGTCGTCGCTAGTTTAGCGCTGCCTTTCCCCGCGTAGCCGGACACAGTGTTAGTCGATATCAAGAAGGAGCTCGCAGAGGTCAGGACAACGAAATGACAACACCGTAACTCCGGTTAAAACTTCTCCTGCCGAGTCTTGACTTGACTTCGAGTCCGCAAGAGTCTTTGATATGTCAGGGCCGTAAATTATTGATTTTTGAGAATGTGTGCCATGGATATCGCCCTCGCACTAGCCTTCGAGGGTAAACTTTTCCGAGAAGCGTTCTCACGGAAGTCTCAAAAAGACGCATGTACGTGGAGGGTTGCTTTGATTTCGCCGGGATCATGATGTCTGACGTTCTTCTGATTATCCATCAAAATTCACGTCGGAGATCGGAAAGGATCGGCCCTCCGGCACAAGTTTGCTGAGCTTGGGAGGAATTTTCAGATATTTTGAACGAAGAAAGATGCATGGCAATGCATCTTTCTACGAAAAGATTATTTCTCCCCGACCGAACCGGGGTAAGATGAAAACGGACGAAGATGTCGGCTACCGTACGGGAAAAGAAGTCACCCCATGGGCATCCCATCCAACGCACGCAGTAACTGGAATCCGCAGCTGGGCGTAGTTTAATAATCGCCGGGCGGGGGGTCGGGCCAGAGGACGAAAGCGGACGCGAACCTGCGCAAGAGCATCCCGAATGCAAATGTCGAACCCGGAGGCATGCTCACTGCGTCGCCACGGTTGCGAACTGCGTCGGGTCGCGATAATGCAGGATGCCTGGACGCGGGCGAGACGCGAACGGCGACGCGTGGAGGGAGCGTCCTTGCCAAAGACGGGCGGAAGATGCGAATCCGTTCCGCCGGAGGGAGGGCGAAGCCAAATCTCAGACCGCCATCGCGCTGCGAGCAGCGGGCGGCGTTGCGTCGATCTTCTCCTTGCGCAGGATATTAAGTCCTGCGATGGTCGAAGCGATTTGATTCGCGAGCCGCAGCGGCAGTGCAGTGCAGTGTAGGTGCAGGCGCAGGCGGGCGAGAGCAATTGTGCGCTCTGCAAGAAGCAGACGGCAGATTGGAGGAAGAATATAGTGCGGTGGGTGGCTTCCATTGCTGGTTGTGCACTTCGCAGTAGAAGCCGGCCGAGGGGGCGAGAGCGACGAGGGACGGGTGCCGGGGCGAGGGGCGAGGGCGAGAGACGAGAGAGTAAAGGGGCCGAAGGGTGCAGGCCTGTGCCCAGTGGCGGGAGAGTGCAGGCCGAGCGGCAAGTACTAGTAGTTGCAGCTGATTGCGACGCTCTCGGATCTCTGCTACATGTCTCGACGCTGGGAGCGGGGCCCAGCGCGACCATCCACCATAATCTTGTCTTTCGAATAGCGACATCTAGCATAGTTCTTTGCAGAGCCTCCGCGAACACGTTTCGTTCGAGATTGGACCGCAGGTCAAGTAGCCATTCTCGTACTGCAGGTGTTTTGTTAGTATTTTCCCTCGCACGCTTATTTGTGTCTCGCACCTGCCCTCGTATTGAGTCTTCTCGTTGTCATACAACGAGAGAAAGTGAGGGACGTCCCGAGACCGAGACCGAGACCGAGAGGGGGTGGGGCGCGAGTAGTGAAGAGTCTCATGTTGCGGTGAGCGAGCTGATTGTTATTGATGTAGTGGTAGTTGGTGTCATCCGTCGACCGTTTGACGTAGCGAGAGAACGCGATAGGGAGACAACGAGGAAAAGGTAGATCACGAAGGGAATGTAAACGGTGAGGGACATCACCCTTTTCCCTTCAAAGGAGTAGAAGAATATTTTGCAGTTTTGCTTCTTCGGCAGAGCGCAACGAAATCAGAGTTGAAATCTGAAATTTGTTGCACATAGTCCTCATTCAAACAAACGGGAAATCTACATATTCGGAGGAAATCCACGGAGCCGAACTCAGCGTCCAAGCGTGAGAGAGGGCGAGAGTCGTAGCTCGGGGTTTACAAGTAGGGCGCAGTCATTGATAAGCAATATTTGACAAAGTCCCCCACCATCGCAGGGAGGAAGCGACGGCGAGAGTCTGCGATGGCGCGTTCCAATGATCCTTTGGTGGTTGGACGAGTCATCGGAGATGTGTTGGAAGAGTTCCAACCTTTCGCCGAACTGACAGTCAAATATGCTGCACGCCAGGTTAGCAATGGTTGCGAGTTGAAACCTTCGGCAGTTGCGGAGTCGCCTCTAGTCCAAGTGATCGATCGGAATGAGCCCAATGCTCTCTTCACACTCGTCAGTTTTCTCTACCTTCGACCCAAGCTCAATGCTACAATTTTCTTCCACACATGCATCCTCACGGACCGTGCCAGATCTCGAGCATTGGAATGCATTGCATGCAGACACGCGATTTAGTCACCGTCCGGTTCCCGAATGCCGAATTTGGAAACATGCTTGTGCAGTTCAGCCCGCCCCGTTTGATTCACCTTTGCCCAGGATGATGAGAAGTTGAGGGAGATGTTTTTCTTGTGTCAACAGGTTGTGACGGATCCGGACGCCCCTAGTCCTAGCGAACCTTCCGCTAAAGAGTTTCTACACTGGTATGTGAAGGCACTATGCACACTTGTACACCTCGCTCAGTTTAATCAAATAAACGAACCGCCTGGTCAAAGAAGACTGCCGCTCATGACATGCACGGTTGCATTTGTGCAGGCTCGTCACTGATATCCCATCAGGAGCAGATGCTAGCGCTGGTATGTGAAATTTATCTGCTCAGCGAGCTCTTGTGCCGTATGCCTGTTCGTTCCGTGCTTCAAATGTCGGGCGATTGTTGCATTGGACTCCTCGACAACGTCGCTTAAGAAGCAAGTGTGAAGTTCTTTCGCATAATTAAGGGGACATTAACTGGACGGACCGTATGTGTGTGTGGAACCAGGTCGACAAATTCTTCCATACGAGGAGCCCAAGCCGCCAATTGGCATCCACAGATACGTTTTCGCGGTATTCAAACAGCAGCAGCCGCTGCCTCTCATAGCGCCTTCCACTCGCAAGAAGTTCAACACCAAGGGGTTTGCCCAGCAGTTCGGTCTCGGCAAGCCTGCGGCTGCAGTATATTTCAACTCCCAAAAGGAGACCGGAGCTCGACGGCGCTAGATCAGGAGGCCATGATCGACGGGCTCGTAGGTGGAGTGCAGATGGAAGTGGGGATACTCTACGGCCTCCACCTGGATCATATACCAATTCGCATCTGAAGTGGTACATTTGACTTAGGGACGATTAGGAGGTAGCCTTGGACACTTCCTTTTTCCTTGTAAGAAGTCGGTGTAGTGGTAGTGTGAGCCTAGGATCGATCACACCGGGAAGGAAAAAATGTCATTTGGGGATTGGGGATACGTAGAAGTGGTACCATGGTTTAGTACAGGTTGTACAGTTTACTGTAGGTAGGTGGTACTGTTTAGCTGCCAGTGTTGTCCTGAATGTGCACAGAAGGAGCTAGCTTATCCCCACCCTACAATTCATGCAGTCCATCTTCAAAAGGAATTCAAACAATCGATGGCCAAATAAATTAGACATTGCTTTCTGTACTGGGCAGTGTAGGCGCAGTGATTGCTCGAAATCTTTTTTTGGGATAGGATTGTTTGTTGATTGATGTGCTCTCTCCTCGAAGAGTACCAATGCCTGAATGGAAATTTCTAGGATACGTCCTTGTTCGTTCAGGTACGTGTGTATATCATAAGTTTCTGATGGCTTCAAGAACAATGCTTGATACTGTTTGAAGGATGTCGCCCGATCATTCATTTGATAATTCACTTCCGGTATTGAAACTTGGATTGTACATAGTCCAATGTAAGGATTGAGTATTTTGAACTCAACTGGATCTTTCTTCACTTGCAATAAAGGTCTGGGTACAGTTGCATGGGAGTCTCATAATCCGCTACCGAGTTTGTGTATGTGTCCAACATGATGTGTCATCTGACAGGTGTTTGCTAGTCCGAGTACGTCAGTCGCCCAGACTGTTCTCTGTCCATTCTCTGACCCGTTTTGGAGTTTGACCGCCTACCAGACTGTTAAGGAAGGACTCACGTCCATTACCTATTCTGTGGAATTCGAAATACATATGAATTGACTATGGATGAAATTGAACGGAAGTAAGATATCACTCCGACGAAGCGAAGCCTTGGTGGGATGTTTGGAAAGCCGAAACTTCTTTGCCAGTGGGCGTGTCATCGAGCGACGTGCTGAGTGACGAGGACTATTCTCGCAATCCCGTACAGTCTGGTTTGCGCACTGGTCACATATCCTTCATGTGTCAAGTTTCAACTTTCAGTCAGCCTGCCGGCTCCGCAGGCTCGCTCCGAACTTCGGAACTGCTATGGCATGAATGTCTTGTTGCAGTACCTGTCTCGCTTGGCTTTCCGGTCTCGTCATGTAGGAAAGTGCCACTCGTCCCCTGCATGTGTCAGTGCCTACTGGCTGGATCTTCGTTGACGCTTTCGAGCAGTATGACTCCCTTTTCCATTCATGCAGAGAGATGCAGATTTGCTGCCCCTCTGGATCTCGACTCATCCAACGGATCGATTGAGGTATAAGCCAAAGTGCCCGTTGACGTGTCTCATGTGCTCAGTCGGCCTTTGTTCGATCTGAATTCCCGAATTGAGTCTGCATGCCAGTGTGTGACAGCCTCTATGATAGCTTATCCTAGACAGAAATATCTGTCAGAGGTTGAATATCGATATCAAGCTCATTGTGCGCAAGAAGAAAAAAGAGCTTTAATCAAGGAATGTTATGCAAGGGGAGAACTTGGCAAACAAGAGTATATCTGCTCAAAGTTACTCCAATCGATTTCAGTTGTAACAGAAAGTACATAGAAACGTGAGACGCCAAGAATTAAGAATGGATAACTTCATAAAATCACGAAAACTGACAAACTGCCGTAAATGACCTCCCCTTCTCAAAGGTATTATAAGGCTAATTTTTGTACATCGCTACAAAATATTAGTAATTTCAATGAAAGGAGATGAGGGGAGAAACTCCCAGAACATCCAGCGAAATTTAAAATCTTAAAATCTGTATGATTTCCGAGGATTGGCAGTAACTCTTAAGGATATCCTCTAGATTCCCACAAAGTTTTCTCTGGAAATACCCGTCTCCCGTGTCAAGAATCCAGAGAAACAACTATTATGTCATGAAAAATAAATTGAAAGATATCCTTTTTCTCAAATTTCCATCATACCATCGAACTGAATTGTTCGTAATAAGATTGAAAATTTGACATATGAAAATATCCAACCAGATCTTATCAACAAGTTGATTCTACAGTCTAGATAACAAGATATTATTGTAACAAGCATAATTGTTTCCTTACAAATACATCGTAGTAATAATGGGCCGTGCATGGATACTTTTCAGCCTTAGTTGAAACTTCAATTAAGGCTGATGAAGACTTGTTGACATGGGAATCAGTTCTTCATGAAGTTTTTGTGCTAAAGGAAAAAACATTCAATACAAGCTGGGGCGATTTGAGATTGACGTGGCAAAGCATATGATTGATCTGGTCACTTGATTCATCTCCAATTTCAAGATTTAACTATTCCGCCTACAACTTCTAGGACCTCTATTGCGCGTGAGCCTTCGGGGATAGCAGCATTTCGGTTAAATTCGGACTGCAGTCAAGCAAGATGAGAAATGATCTTCAAGAGTTCATCATCCTCAACACAATGGAAACGAGTGCAGTAAAGTCATCCTCACCTCACAAGAAGTTGCGGTGATCATCTGCGGCCGTGGCGAGCCATGAGATTGCAACAAGTTTCGATAACGGCGGGGCCCTAGTAGTAGTACAAAGACTTGCATGACTTTTGCAAGTTATAGAACTCTTTGTTACACATTTCTCATCATCTCAGGAAATCATGAGTCGCTTTTGAAGTCGTGTATCAACAAACTCTTCTTCATGTGCAGCATATACTCTGTTTGCTGGTGAGGAGAACGATGTAGACAAATTTCTGGAACTTGGTGATGATGGTGAAGAATCTGAGAGAACTTTTCCACATGACGAGTCATCCATATCATGTTAAAGATGATAAGTTCTCGGGTACCCGATCTCATCTACTTCTAGTAGGCGAGAATCGTTAGCCCACTAGCGCACAACGCCAGGTTGAAAACGAGAATGCTAAAATTACCCCACTCTGTCTCGTTTTTTCCTGATTTGATTTGTTTTCCCTGAACCTTCCATTCTCTCGATCTAATGCAAGACAGTCCTCGCTCGTTTGTTTCTGCCGATCGTGCACGACTTTCATCCATATTCTCTCTCAAGGGGATGGCTGTGCATGTGTGGGCCTGAACTGCTTTCGAATATCCCCGCGTTCAGCGGTCACTGGTCCGGAACTGCACTGCGTATGCATGCACCTCTTCTGCAGAATAGCCTTTTCCAATAGATGGCCACTGACAGACGGTCGGAAGTAAGCAATGTCGTTGCCAGCGTTCTGACCGGCCATTTGTTTCGCTATTCTTTCTTCATGGGCTGAGAGTCTGTTTTTCTTTTGCACCCTTCTTGCACTTATGTCACTCCGCTTTTGGGCACACAATTTCTTCGTCGAGATTCTTAGAATTAGGCTCGCGTCCTTGTTGTGGTGATCTGTAGTGGACTACATCTCTCGACTACTCCTGGTGAATGCGTCTTGCGATCCTTCAGACTCACGTTTTTCGTTTCGTCGCCAGTTTTCACACCTTTACGATGAAATCTTTGGGCAACCAATTTCGAATCTTTGGAATTTTCATGTCGAAAGTTTCGGGCTGCTTTCGAGTGCAGCCAGCAGATCGATGTCGAGGCTAAGTGAGCTGTAGCTATGGGAGCTTATAATTGTCTTAATTTAGCTGAAGCAATCCATCCTCTCCCAGTTCTTCTCGAGTTCGAGTTTACGAGCTGGAATGCATCATTTTTAGGTCTGAGAGGCGATAACAAAGATTCGGTGTCTGGAACCAGTCCGACCTGCATGAAGCTTTGACGGTCATCGGGGGGAGGGAGGAATGAGAAAACTTTTGACTTTGATTCACGAAATTCAAGTCACTGACTCCACGTATCAGTGACTTGACCGACTACATCAATAACAGATGAAACAAACTTGGCCGTCATTCCAGTCGGAACCCGACCAACCCACATTTCTGCCCACTGCGTAAGTCATGAACTAACCAGCTACATGTAGCAAGATTCACGAGAGATGGTCGCACGGACATTGCAGAGCATCGCACTCCTGTTGGTCTTCCATCCACGATCGTCACTGTGCCTTGAGACCTAAACCTTGACCTTGACCTTGCCCCTGACCTCGTGGACACCTTTCAATTGCGTTCACATTCAAACGTTGACATCCATCCACAGGGCAGGAGGAGGCCGACGAGTCCCGCAACTGTTCCCTGTTCTTGTGCGCTACAGGAAACAATAAGTGCGCTGAGAAAACTGCGGGGGAGTTGTCCGGGACGAGGTTTTTATGGCAGTCTTGTTTATGCTCACTCCATCTGCAGTACGTGCCGATGGTGGTGCAACCGTGTTCCTTGGTGCCCCACGTAGGACACAAAAGCACTGTACCGTACTTCGACGAGATGAGGCGCATCATAACAGCGGAACATCATGTGTTTGTTCGAATGTCAGACATGAAAGATCTGCTTCGTATTCATCGATCGTTCTTATGATGACAATGGACGATCGACGTCGAGAAAATATCTGCACTCCTGCTCGAGCTCGCAAGTCTTGCTCCAAAAGGAGTGGGTTTTCTATTCTGGGTTCCTGCATGAGATATTTTCCTTCTTCCTTTTCACTTCTTTTCCCTCACCCTAAACCCTTTTCGTTAGCCTTTTTGGCTTTTGTCACATGTAATTATTATTATACATGCAACCCAAATCCCATATCAGAAGGTGCTCCTGCAGGCGGCAGGCAGCCTTCTGGTGACCGAACCCCAGATAAGGCTAATGCATGCCAACCGGAAGTAGCAAATTGATGAGGTAAACGGAAGCGGCTTTGCTCGATGCGTTTGCTTGAGCAGAGGGATTATGGTCTGCATGAATGTCTTATCTTCTCGAGAAGGCAAGCGTAGATGAGAAGAAGTAAATGGCTGCATTGACGTCAACCTGGATGGGCCAGGCTATACACCGGTGACAGGAACCCCAGATAAAAGGGAGTTCATGCATAAGCCAACCGGATCTGGTTCAACTTTATGACGGTGATGTAATCTGCAAAGGGCGGTGACTGGAGGACTCTGCGGGATGTGCACAGACCCCTCTTCTGCGGGACTGTCTGGCTTCGTCTGGTTGTGGGGCCACGCTTCCAGGGGCACCGATACTCTACGAAGGCAGATTCGGTTGGCCTCGCTTGACTTACTCTGTATGACATAATCGCACAGTACATGCGGTGAGTGAGACTGCCATCTTTTACCCTCTTCACCCTCTTCCCAAACTGATTCGGTGCCCTCGCACAAAGATGGCGAGCGATGCATGCATGGGCGCCTGAGAGTGAAACGTCAGGGTTGCATTATTGGACGAACCCGAGTTGTCGCGCACCTCGCTCGACATGGTCACGCCAATCGACCAGTGGATTGTGTACAAATCGAACGCTGCTCTTTAACAGTTGACCCCTTATTCTTGGAGCTGCAGCGATATTTTACCCGATTTTTTCACTCGTGACCATGGAGGACCCAACCCGACCCGACTTAAACAACTCATTCAAGGTCGACGATTTGTTTACACATATACCTCTCTCTCGGAGACGAGCCGAGGCGCTGCTTCGGTCAGATTGACCGCTCTGAAGCAGCAGCAGCAGCAAGCGCGCTCGCACCTTCTGTTTCTATCCTGTCGATCCGTGCCTCGTGGGTCTGGATCGTACCCTCACCTCACCAACTCCAATATGGCTGAGTCTGATTGAGTCGAATGTAGAAGGTAAGCGGCGCCTCTGTTCGCGTCGACGTGCCTCGGTCGCGGGCATGATTATGTTGCCGCTTCTCGCCAATGGAGCGAGAGCGAGAGGGCGAGGCGCAAGCTTTATTCTGACGCGCTGGTTGTTTCGTGGAGTGTCGTCGTCTGTTCGCCTTTTGCCTTTTTGACCACCGAGCGTGCTCATTCTCGATCGCTCATTCATTAGGGTGCGCGCGAGCAACCGTTGCGGGCGCGGTGGCAATTGATCCATATCCGTTGTGCCCACCTGCTCTGATTTATTCCTTCCGTCCAGCTTTGAACCAGACATGCTCCACGCCCATATCCATGTAGCCACATATCCCCGACATGCTTTTCTCTGCGCATTTCCTTTCTCGCCTCCGCCTCCGCTGCCGACCTTCACCTTCACCTTCACCTTCACCTGGCCGCTTGCGTCATTTCTGATGGATGGATCACGATTATTCCCTGCATCGATTTCGACCTTCGCACTTCACTCTCGGATCTCCATTCGCCTCCCTGGGCGAGCTGTCACATCCTTTGAGACGCTGAGCTTCTGGACTTCACCCCGCCAGCTCTCGTTTCGATGTTAGCAGTGGTACCTGTTTTCTAAGCCGCGGTATATTCTCGGCAAGCCTCATCGGGCGTGACTTGCAAGCTCTGGAAGCATTAGGCAGATATGAGCACTTGCTTGAAATACTCTGACTTTTGTGGCATACACTTTTTTATCATCCTGTTTTCCTTGACATTGTTCCAGGATTTGCTATTGCCTGACTGATGGTTCTTCTTGGACGCTGGTGGCGATGCAAGTCATGCTGAGAGTTGGCTTGCATTCATTCAAATACATGAGTCTTTTCTCATGTCAACTCAGATTATTTCACAATCCTGGGTTCTTCATTTTTTTTCAAGGCTTTTTTCTTCATCAAGAACTCTTCACTATCTTGGCTATTTAACCTTCAGTATGTGATGCAGAAGCTTAATATTTAAAAATACATTTGTTAACTTCTTAAATAGGATATATAAGTTGTATCTATTCAAGACATTGATCAAGTCAATCGAGTACTTCATCAAATTGACTCTAAATCTTGATTTGTACATAGATTATCATGAGAACCATTATTTTTTAATTTTAGATCAGACAAGGAGGCCAAGTACATTAAAAAATTGAAATTTCCCCAGCAAGCGGTACAAGAATAAGTATCGCATCAGGGAGTATGTACTACAACACAATATTTGAACTATCAAAGTCAGATATTTTAGATTATGAACATTTGATGCCGCATCAGCTGATATTATAAGAGTGGCTAATTTGCTATGCAGAGTAATGTGAACATGTTGTCTAAAATAGACAACATAAGACAACGAGGGAAGAAGTGTTATTCTCGTGATCTAGTTTAGGACACTTTTACAACACTTTCCCACAAACATGTTGACGAAACCATACCTTCATATAACCCTAATGTCAAAAAAATAAAATAGAGGTGAATTTTCTGCATAAGTCTATACTTGTACAACTTGGGAACTACCACTACACACTCATTACTTCACACTCACACACCTATTTGAAAAAGTTTCTGTATTTAATTGGAGAGTTAATATTAACTCTTGCTCTGCATCTGTTTCTTGGTTTTCTCATTCGCTTCAATAAAATATAGAGCTGTTTTTCTCCCTTCGTACATTGTAGCTAAAGTTTGATCACTCAAAAGCTCTTCATGATGTTGGATCTCAAATATTGAATTTCATGTATGGATTTATGCTTTGATTTAACTGACTTCCCTTGTTAAGATTAATCGACTTTCCCTTCTGAAAGAGAGAAGAGAAGAATCTACAATTTGCTGAAACTTATTCGAGCTCCTTTCCATGTTGCGATTGAGAGTCATGTGATGGCAGCTTTGGTGCCCAGATGGGGCCATATGCTCCATTTGAAAGCCCTACAGTATATGTAAGCCACTTGAAAGCATATCAAAGGGTTTCAAACGCATTTGAAATCCTTGGCCTTCTCAACAGGTCGATGATACCTCCTGATCCTAATTTCTCATCACACCTTGGCCACTTGGCTATGACTTTGTAACAAAAATCTCAATGGTAACCGGGCAGTCTGTCAGTGCTAGTAACAGGATGATCACAACATTGCCAATGGGACCTTCCCAGGACGTGGGCTATGAAGTGGACTTCTGCGATTCAGGACTTCATTCCGAAGGCTGAAGTCAGAAGTCGAAGTCGAAGAGGAATAAACAACTGGAAATGTGAGAATGTTGTACATCTGATATCAGTATGTTTGAGAAATTTGTCTCGTGGAAGTCTGGAATTCCTCTGCACGAGACCCGGACTCCGGCATCACACTCAAGCGATGTAACATTGGAACAAACAGTCGGTCGTACCCCCGAGGGTGCCACGAGTCCGTTCTTCATGCTCTAGACAATAAAGTGATCACCATCTTCCAAGACCCTACAGGTGCACCTTGAATCACACTCCACATGGTAGCCTTGGAACTTGGAACGTGTGAACAATATACACACCACTTGATTCTGACGAAAAGGAGGAGCCTAGAACACAATTTGTCTATAATACATCACTGAAGCTGAATGTCACTGGATTCATCAAATTATCTGAGGATTCGCGGAGATTGCAATTTTGGCACACCTCCTCTGTTGCATAGCATTCAAGCGCTTGATCTGTAATGAGGACCTCCAATATGGAACACGCTTTTGAGTTGCTGGCTTGACTAGTAATGACCGGAATGTGTGTCAAAGATATAGGACAGACATTCGAGGAATTAAGTGATAAGCTCATGGAAGCTTCAGACCTCGGAAAGCATGGAATGAGCGAGTAAGAATACAAGATCTTGACAGGTCCTGGAGACTGCACTAAATAAAGGACGTGTCCTTTTGTACCACTGTTGTACTCCAATGCGTTCGGAACGCCACACATGGCTAACGCAGTGTATGAACCTCGTAGGAGTTTATGCAAAGCATTGTTGACCGTGATGTTGACGATGTTGGAGCTATGAGATCACTTGTTTCGGAAGATTGGCCACGTTCGAAGTCCGGATCAAGCCAGCCTGTCAAACTTTCTTTACCATCCCACCAGGCTGCTGGAGGACATTTTCCTCGCACGATTCTAGAATTGCCCTTTGCACTGCTAAGATTGACATGATTGCTCGCTGCAGGAATTATGTCAGTGATTGCTTCAGCCATATGCTCTTGAAATAAACTTCCGACCCGTTTAACCTCTACTGCTTTGAACTGTTGATTAAAAGACACCAGAATAGTTAAAATTACAGAAGCTGCAATATCGACTGCATGTTTCGGGTGTAACATCGATCTCGGAAGTCCCCCAGAAATTGTTTCTTTGTTCTTGTTTTTTTACTGTTAGGCTCTCGTGTTCAATCGATTTTCTGAGGGTTTTCTGGAAGGGCCTCCCTCCCGAGAAAACTCAGCGGCGGGGACAACAGGTTGAAGTTAGTTGAAAAAACTCAGGATCTGGACGGCCAGGTCTGAGTTTGTCAGGTTGAGAGTTCAGCTTTGAATTTACATAAGCAAATACTATGGATCACCAAGACTTGAAGCCCACACCCTCGGGCATTAACAAAACTGATTAGCTTGACAGGAAGTAGCGATGCACACAAAATAAAGTGTGTGTCATCTGTGTGAAAAAATCTCCCATGCACAGGCCCAGCGGACAAAAGGTTCCTGAAGGTATACCTCCACTGCAAAACTTGTTATATTTCACAACCCCTTTCCTCGGCCTATATTCTTACCAGATGACTGGACTAAAATTCTAGTCTTTCAGAAATTTTCATTTTTCAGTAAGACTTCATTGTGCAAAGTGAAGATCACGAACTGAAACACTGTAGGACTGGAAAAAAACACTCCACCTAGTGCTTTCCACAATCAGGTCATGCGGTGAGTATATATTCAACATTTCAGAAAATAAACCAGAATAAATTTGCTGTTAGCATCAGTAATACTTTGAAAAGAAATTGCAGTAGTATTTTCTTCATTGTTTACAAGAGAGTTTACGATTAAGTATAAGTGTCTACACTGATAATCTCTCTTATACCATTTTTTTTGTGTACAATCTTTTCTATGATTCCATTTAGACAGTAACCTTTTTTGTAGGCTGAGACTGATCTGCATTGGACTGGAATGTGGAAGAGTTCAACCTACTGCCCTACACTCGAAGTTATGTAGGATCAATACTACTGGAGGAAGAGCTTCCGCGTTCTTTATAAAGCCTCTGGAGATGGTGAAGGAGGAAGGAAATGTATCCAAAGCTTTATGCTTGCCCAAACCCCCTACACCATCGACGCTCCTGAGCGCAGTATCGGCTCACAAAATCAGTCAACAACCATCTGCGAGCTTGTCTCACAAGTCACAGAGAAGTTGTTCAGACGGTTAACTGAGAATGACTGAAGTGCTCCAGAGAAAAAGCGTCCTTTGATGACATACAGAGGGACAAATTCCAGTCTTCGTCCTGTTAGGCTAGGAGCCAGGAACAGGTGAGATCCAACCCCGAACTTGAAGAATCTAACCTCTTTGAAACTGTCTAACATCTCACGAAAGCAAAGTCTAAGCGCTAGCATCCCACTTCGCAATTTCTGGTCTTCTCTCTCGATCTGATCAAGGGTAGCACGGCTCACTTTGTAACCGTAAATCGTGAATCCAGCTTTCTATGAGACTGTACAAAAGAGGAGATTCCTGGCAGACCAAAATCAACACACAATGCAAACTAATTCTCTTAGTGCCGTGAACGAGAGCAAGACATCACAAAAAAGGAAGAAGGGTCTCGGCAAGAGAAGGAAAGGAAAGGAATGATTGACGATATGAACGAGTAGCCTTTCCCTTCTCAGATATATGTGAAGGCGAAACCTCCCATCAAGTGAAAATGCAATAATCTGTCGATGCTTTCCTTGATTGAGTGAAGTTGATATCTTAAATCAATAGACGGAGATCTCCTGCTGCCTTTGCTCGGAAGTGTCCGGAAGCAGGAAATGAGTTCATCTTTCCCAAGTCTCTCTAGCAGCTTAGAATTTCATAGAATCAGTTTATGGAGCTAAGCACACTCAAGTGCAGCTAGCGTTGTCCGATCACCAGATCTCCCAACTGGGCCGTGATCTTCTTTCCGAAAGCACTTGCATGCAGGCAGAATCTGAATATCCACTGTGATGATGGTGTAGACTCTAAATTAGCAGTATATTTATATTATAATAAAAATGTATGGATGAATTGATATTTTCGTGCATCCAAATACTAATGATATATACTATCATGATTGATTTTCATAATATTACTTTCCTAAAAGCGATAAAGAGAGTATCTTTCGATTTGAATATAGATGATAAAACATTGAATATGATGAGATCAATGTCAATTGCATGAACATTGAACTGAAAATAAACTAGAGTAAGCAATATGAATTTTGGGTTTGCTTTCTCTTTGCGTACTTCTTGTTTTCTTTTTTTGAATTCAAATTAAGATGGTATAACAAAAATTTTACATTTACATTTGAAGTATATGATTCATATTATGGTTGGAAAGAAATATACATATATAAACAAGAAGTTGAGGATGTTAATATGAAATATTAGGTATTTCAACAACCAGGTTTACAAGAGCT